CTCTAGAAGATACCTAATATGACGATGACTTTATCGTATTGGATTTGGATGACAAATTTGATGTCATCCTTGGAATACCGTGGCTCAGAAGGTACGAACCACGGGTAAACTGGCAACATCGAACAGTAACGATGCCTGCCGCTTGTTCATCAGATGGCCATCTGATGAACGTTTTGGAGCGTCCACAAGCGTGTGGATGTACTACGGGTGAGTGCGATGGCCTCACTTGTGGTACGGTCGTTAGTACGACTGCACAAAACCTTAGTGTACCAAACGGTCACACTTCGGAGCAAAGTTCCGGCGGCTGTGAGGAAACACAGGCTGCGCCGAAGGCCCACCACTCGAATAAGTCGAGTGGACCGGGACAAAGATGTATTCCTAGCGGGGAACATCTAGAAGAGAAAAAATCGATCGCTCAGGTTAAGCGAAACGATAATCCTAGATCAACTGGAGAGTCTTTCGTAGAGGATCTCGCTGTGGTTGCGCAACCCCAGCTAGAGGAAGTAAAGGGAATAAGTCCTGATACTACAAATACGGCGGAAATAAGTTCCCCGAAACCCGCGGGAATAAGTCCCCGGGAAGACGAAGGAATAAGTCCTTCGAAGCCTGAGGGAATAAGTCCCCAGGAAATGACAGAGACATTGAATGTCATAGTCAATGACGGATCAAGCGCAGGTGCTTACACACTTGATCTGATTGCGCCTCCGAAGTTGACTTCAGAGATCACTTAGTTTCTAACGCTCGAATTTAAACGGTTCTTGCGTGATCTGCGTAGTGGCAAAGTCAAGCAGATCTGCATACTCGTCGCTGACGACGAGCGTGTAGCCGACAAAAGGTCAGCAACAGTGTTCACTGAGAACGAGAGTGTTCTCAGTATTTCATAGATGGACGAGAGTGTCCTAGATGAAAAGACACGAATTGAGCGATATGACTCTCAATCATGGGAATCGCTCAAGAAAAATCCTCTCTACGAAGATTTGGTTGAATTCAAGGATGTATTCCCTGAAACTGTTCCGTGCGAATTACCGAAGGATAAAGGTATTCGACACGAAGTCGAGCTTAAACCAGGCTCGAAGTACTGTGTCATGAAGCAGTGGCCACTGCCTCGTGAACAAGTACTTGCGATCGACAAGTTCTTTGCCGATCGTTTAGCAGCGGGCCATGTGAGGGAATCAACTTCCCCACATAGCTCTCCGACCTTCTGTGTGCGAAAAGCAACAGGAGGGTGGCGGATAGTGCACGCGTTCAACAAATTGAACGCTGCAACGGTACCGGCTCAGACGCCGATACCAAGGAAGGACGTAATCATTGATGGTATGTCAAAGAGTACCATCTTGTCGTCCGTGGATTCGATGGATGGCTTCTATCAAATACTTATGCGAGAACGGGATATACCCTATACCGCAGTAAGCACCTCTAGCGGCATGCTTTGGGAATGGCTAGTAATGCCACAAGGGCTTAGCAATGCCCCTGCCACGTTCAACAGATGTGTATCACATCTGTTGAGACCAGTACGAGAATTTGCACCGATTTATTTCGATGACGTACTCATCCATAGCCGAGCTATGGATGGAAAGTCGGACGTTGAGGTTCACAGGTACCACGTCCGACAGGTTCTTACAATCATGCGAAAGCATCAATTGTATGCTAACCTCAAGAAGTGTATATTTGCAGCAAGCGAAATACCACTTCTTGGGTGCATCGTTGGTAAGAAAGGTGTACATCCTGATCCCGAAAAGATCAAGGCGATCACCGACTGGACTGTGCCGGTTGATGTCAAAGGTCTTCGAAAATTCCTTGGGCTAGCGGCGTATTTGCATAAGTATTCACGCAATTATGCCGAAATGACTGTGCACCTCTCTCGTTTGTTGAAAAAGAACGAGAGATGGTTATGGAACGCTGAATGTCAGCGCTCCTTTGATGGTATCAAACAGAGCTTGATACAATACCCAGTCCTAGCAATAGACGATCGATACAGGCCATTTCATGTGGTCTGTGATGCCAGCGATTTTGCAATCGGCTGTGCATTAATGCAGTACTATCTTGAAGGCGTTGAACGCGTCGTCTGCTATCAGTCGCGTCAGCTGCAACCAGCTGAGCGGAACTATCCAGTGCATGACAAGGAACTCCTTGCCATGAAGTATGCACTCGCGAAGTTCAGAGTCTATCTATTAGAAGATAGACCCTTCATTGTTTACACTGACCATGCGTCATTACGCACGGCAGTGAACAGCCCGCACCTTTCACAAAGAATGGCGCGGTGGCTGTCATTCTTTGCAGAATACAACTTTACGGTAGAGTACAAACCAGGACGACTTCACGTCGTCGCTGATGCACTCTCACGTCGTCCCGACTTTGAAACAGTCGCGAAACCCAACAGTGAGACAGCCACTGTTGAGGTTATGACGTCCACCTTACCATCTTCAACGTTACATGATGATGTGAGGCGGGCGTATGCCCAAGATGGTGAGATAGTGAAGTTGTTGTCACATCTCTCACAACCATCTCGAGAATCGTTGAAACGGTTGTCGCCTGCGTATCGATCTGCATCAGATCGATACACTACTCGCAACGGTTTACTGTATTACACAGCCGTTACTGGTGACACACCACGTGTTGTCATTCCAGATGATACTGATCTGCGATTGTGGACCATGTTCGAGTATCACGATGCTTCTATAAGAGGACATCGTGGCCGAGAGAAAACATATCTCACGGTAAGTCGAGACTTTTACTGGCCCCGCCAGTATCAGTTTGTGCGAAAGTATGTTCGCGCATGCGAAGTCTGCCAACGAGTGAAGTCAAGTCCTTCACTGCGTGCACCTTTACAGCCTCAACCAGTACCGGCTGAGTGCTGAGAATCCATCTCGGTGGATTTCGTCTTCGGGTTACCCAAAGACGCACGCGGGAATACGGGTATTCTCGTATTTGTTGACAGATTCAGCAAAATGGTCCACCTTGTGGCTGTACCAGAGTCAATCACGGCAAGTGGCTGTGCTTGTGTCTTTATCGACACCATCTTCCGACTTCATGGGTTTCCCCGTGAACTCGTATCAGACGGAGATCCACGCTTCACTGCTGATTTCTGGCGTTTCGTGTTCAAATCACTCGGAAGGCGCTTGAAGATGTCGACACCTGATCATTCAGAGTCAGACGGTCAGACGGAACGAGCCAATCCTGTCCTCGAAGAGATACTTTGAGGATACGTACACTCCTTTAGAGTGAGCTTTTGCCAATGGTAGATTTTGCCAGTAAGAACTCGGTGCATGCGTCCACGACACATACACCGTTTTACGTGAATGGCTTACGCCATCCGCGTGTACCCACCTTACTAGAGTATAACTCTGGTTTAAGGGGGGGAGGGACTTGCGCGAGCAAAAACCGATTTGGACCACGCTCATCATGCTCTGACGATGAGGTCATTGCGTTTGATGCCGATATCGACAACATCGATATCGAAGAAGATGATGCCCGTGAGAGCGCGGAAGCCCTCACTGAAGAAAAGGTTGTTGTTGCTGCAGTGTGCTCACAGCACACTGAAGCTAACGAGTCATCAGATGAGTTCATACTGGCTCGTGAAACGGTAGTCCGTTTTGTGCAAGACTCCATCGCCGAAGCGGTGGATAAGCAAAAGCAAAACGCTGACAAGAATGGAAGGGCAAACACTCTTTTATTTAATAAAAGGTGACTTAGTCCTACTGTCTACGGTTAATCTACCAAAGCATGTAGTGACTAACTTGGGTAGCAGTAAACTACTACCCAAGTACATTGGCCCATTTCGTGTATTGCATCGCCTAGGCAGTGCATACACGATCGAATTACCACGTAAGATGCGAACGTATCCCACGTTTTACGTTGGTCGGCTTAAGCCGTACCATCAGTACGCTGCTTCTTCCAATGAAGAACGCCCTTGCGCTCAAGCATCTCACAGAGAGTCTTATGCTCCAGACGGTGGGCATCAACAAGGGTCTGAAGAGCAGCTATCTCATCCCGAGACAGATCAGGAATCCCACGAGCTACCCTTAGCTCGTCACGAAGAGATGTCAGAGATCTCTCGTTCTCAAGCTGAGCAAAGGTAAACTCAGCTCGATGCTTCAGGAAAGTGTCCATCAGTTGGAGACGCCTGTCCCGCTCATGTTCGAGATCGCCGCGTAACGCTTGCGTTACACGATCAAAGAATCGATCGGGGACACACGCTTACCCACGATAGTTTGGAGAGCGTTTCCCTCCTCCTCCACCTTCATTAGAGGACTCTTGCGGTGGCCAGCACTATCTGGTTGAGCAGCTGTTGAACCACCGCGACGTGAACGGACGTTGGACGAGTTACCTCGTCCGGTGGCGCAGTTATCCCCCGTCCTGGGATACTTGGGAGCCCCGCTACCAACTGATGGTTGACGTACTGGGTCTGGTCGAGCGGTACGACGCGGCACATCCTGTGCCGCAGAAGGACCGCCGGAGAAAGTCTTCCCGGCACGGTCATAAAGGGATTTCAGGTTGTCAATCCCTTCGTACATCTCAGTAGAGACACGTACGCGCCACCACGGGCTGGTAAGGAGGTAAGCCTCCTTAGGTGCTCGTGCAGAGTTGTTCACACAACATGGGCACGGGTCTCCCCAAGAGAGGCAGGGTAATCCTTTCTCCCTTGACAGACGATGCAGCTTGTAGCGTGCACCTGTCGGGGTTCGCTTTTCAGACTTATCACGAGCTTTGATAAGTTTGTCGTTCCAAACGTCACGACCTACATCCTCAAGGTTGTGGATGTAAGCGTTTTACGCTTGAAGCAGTGAGGGACCACCACGTTTGTGATTCCCACTGTACCATCGATGTTTAAAGAAAGCATCGATGAAGAAATCATTCTCAGCGCGATAGTTTTTCGCACTGGGGTCAAGGTGATGGATCCTTGACGAATCGAACAATCGTGTTCGATAGCGATCACTCGTCGTCACCGACAAGTGATCCATGACTGATTTTGGGGGCATCCATGACTGATTTTGGAGGCATCAATGCCTTCTTCTCGGGAGCGAGACGCTACACACTGTGGTCCCGCTCTTCTTGCAACGAACCGACAGAAGTACTGGTACCTCTCTGCGAAGTGGTGTCCATAGGAGAACCGACACCACTGTGAGCGCCCGAGTCTTGCGACCTCGAGCGCCTTCGCTTTGGCGATGGTTCATCTGATTCGTCAGATGAACCAAATATGCTACGACGCATAGCATCATCCATGCCACGCTTGGCAGGCGGCTTGATTCGATCGCCGTCGATACAGATCCATCTTCCGTTTTGGGAGAGTATGAGACACCAAGCTCATACTCTGTGGAGACATGAGTGTCTTCATGACGAGCACCTGCATCACCAGGATACACAGGCTGAGTCGCTTCAGCAACCGATGACACATCAGTTGCTGCGGTTTCTGCTTCGGCGTCCGCACAGAGACGTGCGGACGCGCTCTCGGAGGCCTTGCTCGCGCACCGCATGGGCTTGTTAGCCATGCGATGAACTGTTGGAAAGTGGACTCAGACCAACAAGTGCAAACCCTGTCCCAAATGATTTGGGACGAGTATCCATTTAGTCAATCAGTCACTAAAGTGACTGATGGGTAAGGGGGGTGATGTAACGGGGTGAATCGTTACATAACAATTTATAAGAAATTGTTAATAGAATTTAACTGTAAGAGTTACATTCTCAGAATACTGTCATAAGGACAAATATTCTGTAGCACTCACGAGTAGTTCCTAGTTGGTTGATATATGCCATTTTATTCTGTAGCACTCACGAGTAGTTCCTAGTTGGTTGATATATGCCATTATATCAACGAAGACACGCCACGACAGACGCACGCAATGAGTGGTGAGCAGATAGTTGATATGCACATTTGTATTCAGACATAGTTAGATGAGGATTAGTAGTGATTTTATTAACAGACATTAACTATGATAAATACAGTTCTACTTTTTACTTTAATCAAGTACTCGCTTCACCTTACCGTCTTCCTCTGCACGTACCAGTGTACGTGAAGTTTCGAGGCACCGCCTTATTCTGTCGTCAGAATAAGTAGCTTGTACTGTCATCAGTACAAGCTTCAGGGTGCCCCGTTACACCTGGTAGCACTTCGTAGTCCGTCCAAGGACCGCGTTCACATCCAACATGAATATTTTGGATGATGAAGATGACCAAAGCTTTCACGCTACGCGTGACGGCTACTCCCATTTGAGCGATGTCGAATGGGTTGCGGTTGAACGAATGGGTTCGACCATGGGCATCCATGCTGTTAGAGTCATGCTAGAGGCTCTCAATAGAGATGCCCAACATGCTACTATCGCCAAGTTCATTCAAAATGAACTTGACGCAGAACGCGAGAAAGTAGCCTTGCTTCACCAACAAGGTTCTCAACAAGCAGAGTTGTTGAGAGAACAGGGTGCTCAACAGTTTGAACTGTTGAGACAGCAGCAGGCTGCTGCTGGCGGGTCGATGCACTCGCGTCGACCCGAGACTTTGAAGATTGACAACTCAAAGTACAGGGGGGTCAAAGAAGACTCCCTCTTGAGATGGTTCGTCGAATTAGACGACGCCGTAAGGGCGCGTTGCATCGACGACGGGGATATGCACGTTGCATTGCCCAGTCAAATCTGGCAGGATGTGCCAAGACTTGGGCACTGGGGCTCAAGTTGCACGACCCATATGCGTTTGGGTCGTTAGAAGTCTTCAAGTCGCGGCTCAGACAAACGTTTAAACCGCCTGGAGCTGAGTTGAGAGCTCGAACTGAACTCTTGATGCTCAAACAAGGTAAGCGTGATGTGCACGCTTACGCGCAACATATACGACATCTCACGAGTTGTATAAGTTCCAATCCGGTGGATGAACACATGGTGGCTTCGGTGTTCATGCAGGGTCTTGCGGATGGTCCCGTCAAGACTCACCTGTTCCGACTTGAACTAGATTCACTAGAACGATCCATTTTCATTGCGGAACAGGAAGACTTCAGTCGGAGACAGGATCGCGCCAACTCGACATCATATCGTCAACCGAGACGATATGACAGCGGAGGTCCAGAGCCGATGGAACCCTGCTATGTAGAGAGCGAGAAGGCTCGCTCTACAGACTACAAGAAGTTGCAGAAATGCAACAGATATCAAAAGACAGGACACTACGCTTACGAGTGTAGTGCCAATCGTCCAGTGTCTCGCAACACTGGGCGTAATGACCGTCGACCCATGAGAAAGAGGCATGGACGCGGATCCGCAGTTGGTGCAAAGACGCAACAACGGGATGGACCGTCAAAAAACGGACAGGATCAGTAGGTGCGGAGCACCCTACTGGTCCAGCAACGTCAAGAGAATTTGTAGGCCTCTTGATGAAGGTTGCTCTCAACACACAAACGCTGCTCTAGGTCATGAGGTCTCACTCATTACCTCACAACTCGAAGTGACGAATAAGTTGTCCCTTTGAGCTCTAGTCGATTGTGGGGCGTCTAACTTTTTTGTGCGACGCCTATCGCTAGAAGATGGTCACTTCAAGTTTGTCGAATGTGACACACCTCCTACGAGGATGACGGTACGTCTTGCGACAGGCGCATCCGTAACCGTCATGAAGCGTATAGTTTAGATTCACTATACTCTAGAAGATACCTAATATGACGATGACTTTATCGTATTGGATTTGGATGACAAATTTGATGTCATCCTTGGAATACCGTGGCTCAGAAGGTACGAACCATGGGTAAACTGGCAACATCGAACAGTAACGATGCCTGCCGCTTGTTCATCAGATGGCCATCTGATGAACGTTTTGGAGCGTCCACAAGCGTGTGGATGTACTACGGGTGAGTGCGATGGCCTCACTTGTGGTACGGTCGTTAGTACGACTGCACAAAACCTTAGTGTACCAAACGGTCACACTTCGGAGCAAAGTTCCGGCGGCTGTGAGGAAACACAGGCTGCGCCGAAGGCCCACCACTCGAATAAGTCGAGTGGACCGGGACAAAGATGTATTCCTAGCGGGGAACATCTAGAAGAGAAAAAATCGATCGCTCAGGTTAAGCGAAACGATAATCCTAGATCAACTGGAGAGTCTTTCGTAGAGGATCTCGCTGTGGTTGCGCAACCCCAGCTAGAGGAAGTAAAGGGAATAAGTCCTGATACTACAAATACGGCGGAAATAAGTTCCCCGAAACCCGCGGGAATAAGTCCCCGGGAAGACGAAGGAATAAGTCCTTCGAAGCCTGAGGGAATAAGTCCCCAGGAAATGACAGAGACATTGAATATCATAGTCAATGACGGATCAAGCGCAGGTGCTTACACACTTGATCTGATTGCGCCTCCGAAGTTAACTTCGGAGATCACTCAGTTGCCAACACTCGAATATAAAAGGTTCTTGCGTGATCTGCGTAGTGGCAAAGTCAAGCAGATCTGCATACTCGTCGCTGACGACGAGTGTGTAGCCGACAAAAGGTCAGCAACAGTGTTTACTGAGAACGAGAGAGTTCTCAGTAGGACACTCTCGTCCATAGATAGTTCATCTATGGACGAGAGTGTCCTAGATGAAAAGACACGAATTGAGCGATATGACTCTCAATCATGGGAATCGCTCAAGAAAAATCCTCTCTACGAAGATTTGGTTGAATTCAAGGATGTATTCCCTGAAACTGTTCCGTGCGAATTACCGAAGGATAAAGGTATTCGACACGAAGTCGAGCTTAAACCAGGCTCGAAGTACTGTGTCATGAAGCAGTGGCCACTGCCTCGTGAACAAGTACTTGCGATCGACAAGTTCTTTGCCGATCGTTTAGCAGCGGGCCATGTGAGGGAATCAACTTCCCCACATAGCTCTCCGACCTTCTGTGTGCGAAAAGCAACAGGAGGGTGGCGGATAGTGCACGCGTTCAACAAATTGAACGCTGCAACGGTACCGGCTCAGACGCCGATACCAAGGAAGGACGTAATCATTGATGGTATGTCAAAGAGTACCATCTTGTCGTCCGTGGATTCGATGGATGGCTTCTATCAAATACTTATGCGAGAACGGGATATACCCTATACCGCAGTAAGCACCTCTAGCGGCATGCTTTGGGAATGGCTAGTAATGCCACAAGGGCTTAGCAATGCCCCTGCCACGTTCAACAGATGTGTATCACATCTGTTGAGACCAGTACGAGAATTTGCACCGATTTATTTCGATGACGTACTCATCCATAGCCGAGCTATGGATGGAAAGTCGGACGTTGAGGTTCACAGGTACCACGTCCGACAGGTTCTTACAATCATGCGAAAGCATCAATTGTATGCTAACCTCAAGAAGTGTATATTTGCAGCAAGCGAAATACCACTTCTTGGGTGCATCGTTGGTAAGAAAGGTGTACATCCTGATCCCGAAAAGATCAAGGCGATCACCGACTGGACTGTGCCGGTTGATGTCAAAGGTCTTCGAAAATTCCTTGGGCTAGCGGCGTATTTGCATAAGTATTCACGCAATTATGTCGAAATGACTGTGCACCTCTCTCGTTTGTTGAAAAAGAACGAGAGATGGTTATGGAACGCTGAATGTCAGCGCTCCTTTGATGGTATCAAACAGAGCTTGATACAATACCCAGTCCTAGCAATAGACGATCGATACAGGCCATTTCATGTGGTCTGTGATGCCAGCGATTTTGCAATCGGCTGTGCATTAATGCAGTACTATCTTGAAGGCGTTGAACGCGTCGTCTGCTATCAGTCGCGTCAGCTGCAACCAGCTGAGCGGAACTATCCAGTGCATGACAAGGAACTCCTTGCCATGAAGTATGCACTCGCGAAGTTCAGAGTCTATCTATTAGAAGATAGACCCTTCATTGTTTACACTGACCATGCGTCATTACGCACGGCAGTGAACAGCCCGCACCTTTCACAAAGAATGGCGCGGTGGCTGTCATTCTTTGCAGAATACAACTTTACGGTAGAGTACAAACCAGGACGACTTCACGTCGTCGCTGATGCACTCTCACGTCGTCCCGACTTTGAAACAGTCGCGAAACCCAACAGTGAGACAGCCACTGTTGAGGTTATGACGTCCACCTTACCATCTTCAACGTTACATGATGATGTGAGGCGGGCGTATGCCCAAGATGGTGAGATAGTGAAGTTGTTGTCACATCTCTCACAACCATCTCGAGAATCGTTGAAACGATTGTCGCCTGCGTATCGATCTGCATCAGATCGATACACTACTCGCAACGGTTTACTGTATTACACAGCCGTTACTGGTGACACACCACGTGTTGTCATTCCAGATGATACTGATCTGCGTTTGCGGATCATGTTCGAGTATCACGATGCTCCTATAGGAGGACATCGTGGCCGAGAGAAAACATATCTCACGGTAAGTCGAGACTTTTACTGGCCCCGCCAGTATCAGTTTGTGCGAAAGTATGTTCGCGCATGCGAAGTCTGCCAACGAGTGAAGTCAAGTCCTTCACTGCGTGCACCTTTACAGCCTCTATCGGTTCCGGCTGAGTGCTGAGAATCCATCTCAATGGATTTCGTCTTCGGGTTACCCAAAGACGCACGCGGGAATACGGGTATTCTCGTATTTGTTGACAGATTCAGCAAAATGGTCCACCTTGTGGCTGTACCAGAGTCAATCACGGCAAGTGGCTGTGCTTGTGTCTTTATTGACACCATCTTCCGACTTCATGGGTTGCCCCGTGAACTCGTATCAGACAGAGATCCACGCTTCACTGCTGATTTCTGGCGTTTCGTGTTCAAATCACTCGGAACGCGCTTAAAGATGTCAACATCTGATCATCCAGAGTCAGATGGTCAGACGGAACGAGCCAATCCTGTCCTCGAAGAGATACTTTGAGGATACGTACACTCCTTTAGAGTGAGCTTTTGCCAATGGTAGATTTTGCCAGTAAGAACTCGGTGCATGCGTCCACGACACATACACCGTTTTACGTGAATGGCTTGCGCCATCCGCGTGTACCCACCTTACTAGAGTGTAACTCTGGTTTAAGGGGGGGAGGGACTTGCGCGAGCAAAAACCGATTTGGTTCACTCTCATCATGCTCTGACGAAGAAGTCATTGCGTTTGATGCCGATATCGACAACATCGATATCGAAGAAGATGATGCCAGTGAGAGAGCGGAAGCCCTCACTGAAGACAATGATCCCAGCGAGAGTGCGGAAGCCCTCACTGAAGAAAAGGTTGTTGTTGCTGCAGTGTGCTCACAGCACACTGAAGCTAACGAGTCATCAGATGAGTTCATACTGGCTCGTGAAACGGTAGTCCGTTTTGTGCAAGACTCCATCGCCGAAGCGGTGGATAAGCAAAAGCAAAACGCTGACAAGAATGGAAGGGCAAACACTCTTTTATTTAACAAAGGTGACTTAGTCCTACTGTCTACGGTTAATCTACCAAAGCATGTAGTGACTAACTTGGGTAGCAGTAAACTACTACCCAAGTACATTGGCCCTTTTCGTGTATTGCACCGCCTAGGCAATGCATACACGATTGAGTTACCACGTAAGATACAAACGCATCCCACGTTTTACGTTGGTCGGCTTAAGCCGTACCATCAGTACGCTGCTTCTTCCGATGAAGAACGCCCTTGCGCTCAAGCATCTCGCAAAGAGCCTTGTGCTCCCGATGGTGGGCATCAACAAGGGTCTGAAGAGCAGTTATCTCAGCCCGAGACAGATCAGCAATCCCACGAGCTACCCTTAGCTCGTCACGAAGAGATGTCAGAGATCTCTCGTTCTCGAGCTGAGCAAAGGCAAACTCAGCTCGATGCTTCGAGGCAGTGTCCGCCATCTGGAGACGCCTATTCCGCTCATGCTCGATATCGTCGCGTAACCCTTGCGTTACGTGATCAAAGAAGCTCTCGGGAACACACCGATTTACATGATCGTGTGGAGAGCGTCTTTCCTCCTCCTCCACCTCCATTAGAGGATTCTCGCGGTGGCCAGCGCTATCTAGTTGAGCAGCTGTTGAACCACCGCGATGTGAACGGACGTCGGACGAGTTACCTCGTCCGGTGGCGCGGCTATCCCCCGTCCTGGGATTCTTAGGAGCCCCGCTCCCAATTGATGGTTGACGTACTGGGTCTGGTTGAGCAGTACGACGCGGCACATCCTGTGCCGCAGAAGGACCGCCGGAGAAAGTCTTCCCGGCACGGTCGTAAAGGGATTTCAGGTTGTCAATCCCTTCGTACATCTCAGTAGAGACACGTACGCGCCACCACGGGCTGGTAAGGAGGTAAGCCTCCTTAGGTGCTCGTGCAGAGTTGTTCACACAACATGGGCACGGGTCTCCCCAAGAGAGGCAGGGTAATCCTTTCTCCCTTGACAGACGATGCAGCTTGTAGCGTGCACCTGTCGGGGTTCGCTTTTCAGACTTATCACGAGCTTTGATAAGTTTGTCGTTCCAAGCGTCACGACCTACATCCTCGAGGTTATGGATGTAGGCGTTCCACGCCTGAAGTAGTGAGGGACCACCACGTTTGTGATTCCCACTGTACCATCGATGTTTAAAGAAAGCATCGATGAAGAAATCATGTTCAGCGCGATAGTTTTTCGCACTGGGGTCAAGGTGATGGATCCTTGACGAATCGAACAATCGTGTTCGATAACGATCACTTGTCGTCGCCGACAAGTGATCCATGACAGATTTCGGAGGCATCAATGCCTTCTTCTCGGGAGCGAGACGCAACACATTGCGGTCCCGCTCTTCCTGCGACGTGCCTACAGAAGTACTGGCACCTCGCTGTGAAGTGGTGTCATTGGAGAACCGACACCACTATTAGCGCCCGAATCTCGCGACCTCGAGCGCCTTCGCTTCGGCGATGGTTCATCTGACTCATCAGATGAACCAAAGATGCTGCGACGCAAAGCATCGTCCATGCCACGCTTGGCAGGCGGCTTAGATTCAATTGCCGTTGATACGGATCCGTCATCCGTATCAGGAGAGTACGAGACACCGAGCTCGTACTCTGTGAAGACACGAGTGTCTTCATGACCAGCGCCTGCGTCACCAAGTGACACAGGCTGGGTCGCTTCAGCAACCGATGGGACATCAGTTGCTGTTGTTTCTGCTTCGGCGTCCGCACAGAGACGTGCAGACGAGCTCTCGGCGGCCTTGCTCGCGCATCGCATGGGCTTGTTAATTATGCGATGAACTGTTGGAAAGTGGACGCGGACCAACAAGTGCAAACCCTGTCCCAAATGATTTGGGACGAGTATCCATTTAGTCAATCAGTCACTAAAGTGACTGATGGTTAAGGGGGGGTGATGTAACGGGGTGAATCGTTACATAACAATTTATAAGAAATTGTTAATAGAATTTAACTGTAAGAGTTACATTCTCAGAATACTGTCATAAGGACAAATATTCTGTAGCACTCACGAGTAGTTCCTAGTTGGTTGATATAGGCCATTATATCAACCAACGAAGACACGCCACGACAGACGCACGCAAAGAGTGGTGAGCAGATAGTTGATATGCACATTTGTATTCAGACATAGTTAGATGAGGATTAGTAGTGATTTTATTAACAGACATTAACTATGATAAATACAGTTCTACTTTTTACTCTAACCAAGTACTCGCTTCTTCTTACCGTCTTCCTCTGCACGTACGAGTGTACGTGAAGTTTCGAGGCACCGCCTTATTCTGTTATCAGAATAAGTAGCTTGTACTGTCACCAGTACAAGCTTCAGGGTGCCCCGTTACAACTGCGCTTGTCCTATTATCGTGCATCCATTTTACGTTTGAGGTCGCCAAAGTTGAGCAAATTCATGCAGTTCTTCCTCCTCGAGTGAACTTGCCCGAGTTTACTCGTGAAATTTAAACGCATGTGATGCTGTGCATGCAGGTGACCTACGCTGTAGCAGTGTAGGTGTACGCTTTCCCGCTACGACCTCGCTTGTTGTGCATTTCAAGATTGTGAATAAGTCTCTCTTTCTTCATGCTTGAAATGACGATCACTGCAGCACGCAAAAAATGCGAACTGTCTGTTGTCATTAGCTACCCTGTCAAATGCACCAAGTCGCATCGGATCGGTCATCATCATCAACTTCACGGTCATCATCATCAACTTCACGGTCACCATCATCAACTTCACAGTCATCATCATCATCCCTATTGTCAGTCATCAACAACGCCAGACGCAATTTCTTTAAAATTAGGACCACGCATTATCACCCAATCAGCACGCTTGACTCGACTCCCTGTGCGCGTCATCGCAGCGTAAACCTCGTCATCTTCATGATCCTATGAACTCGACTATTCCCGTCCCCGACCGACGGACCCCTTTCCCAGCAGCGGGTTTCGCCATCAAAACCAATGGGTCGTGGCTGCTCCATGGACGAGTGGGTACACTTTACAAAGCTGCTCGACGAAGGGCGCGTGTCCAACTCGTCGTACTGGTACGTCTTGTGCCGCCACTGCGTCTCTGCTTATGAACAAAAGCAGCTCTTGACTGCGCCCGTGAAGCTCACGGGACGGCGCTCGGCCATGCGCTCGCACTTGAAGTCGTGTCCTGTGTACGCCACACAATATGAGAGCGAGCAATGCACCGTACAAGAGACGGCGGTTCCAGCACTTGATGACCGACATACTCAAGTCAAGACACTGGAGACAGGAGGGGGAACACCAGGTGGTCGCTCGATGACAACGACGTCCGTGGGCGAGAAACGCAAGCGCCGACCCGCTGCTGTTGTTGGAGGTCGTCGTGGCAAGCACCACTTGATGGAAGAGTGGATGCACTTCACGCGACTCCAGACGGAGGGATACATTGGCAATTCCAACTTCTTCTATGCTGTGTGCAAGCACTGTGAGCGAGCACATGAGGCCGCAGCTGACGACCAGAAGCCGCTGCTGGTGCCGGAGAAGATCGTGGGCAGACGCGAGAAGATGCGAAAGCATTTGTCGCAGTGTCCCCACTTTAAAGGTGAGCTGCCACCACTGGGTCGTAGGCTGTATCAACGCAGTACGGTCAAGCTGTCCAATGGTGCCGAGTGTACGAAAGAAGTGATGGCAGTACACGAAGAGACTGGGTCGGGTGTTGCAGCTACGGTGCAAAAGCTGGAAGTGTCTGCTACTGCTATTGCTGGTGGTATCACTGCAGCTACGATGACGAAGGTCTCGTCGCGACAGGCACTGAACGAGTGGCACTTTTTCACGCGGCTCGAGCGCAAACAGGACAGCGCTTATTACTACGCGCGGTGCAATTTTTGCCAGCAGGCGTTTGAGAGTGCGCCTGAAAGCTTGAAGGCGTCGATGAAACCGACTATTGTCATGGGGCGCAAGAGCAATATGCAGACTCATTTGGCCAAGTGTCCTCACATGCCTAAGGATGCATTGATGATCGAAGAAGTTTATGGAAACGAACACAGCACAAGTTCTGGTAGCGGTGCAACTGTTGCACCTGTACTGGATGCGCAAATGTCTTTAGAGCCCAAACGCACTGGAGCTGATGTCGGTGATGTATCGTTACTGCCATCTTCCGATACCACTTTGGTGCATCGCGCGCTGGTACAACTGCTTATTGAGCACCAGCTGCCTTTCGAGTGGATTGAAAGCCATAGTGCCAGGCGTTTATTCCGCGCACTCGTCCCTACCCCTGGCACTGCTGATAGGATTATACCTAGCGCTGCTGACCTGCGCACGCGCGTTTTGGAAAACGTGTACAGCACGACGCTTTTGAGTGAACTCTCGAATCTGCAAGAGCTCATTCCACTCTCACTAGGCACGTCTGCTCCCTCAAATAGTGCCGAAGAGGCCGTGTCGGTCGCGCCGATAGGGCCGTGGCCAGCATCGTTGCATTGCAACATGGTATTAGTCCTGCAATCTGGAATTCCGCTCGTGTCTGCGATTGATGGAGTCGTGACCAATGGAAAGGCTATCGTTTCACTAGCATTTATCCGAGCCCAAGAAGAGAAAGCAGATGTGGAGAGTGCAAGAGTACAAAAACATGGGCTGGATGTCGCAAGATGGCTAGATGAGCATATCCGACTTTGTGTCAAAACTGCTAAAGTGGCTCTCGCGGTGGTGGTGTTGCCGTACAACTCGATCGCTCAACGCGCTATCGGCATTTTGCGATCTCCGGCACGCTGGTCAAATGTTACTTTCCTGCTCGATATGGAGAATATGTTGCATTTTCCATTGCTGACGCTGCTGGCGACCTCGGAAATGTGTACTGTTGTATCATCCCTCATCGAGGTGTGGCAGTTGGAGTCAATCCGCTCTTGTGTTATCGAACGACTGTCGAAAATGGACGGCAGCACCAATGCTAGCCCCTTTAGTAGTTGGCACTCGTGTGCTGTTCTCATTGAGGTACTACTTGATGACAAAACGTTTGCGGCCAGTACAAAAAGTGGAACGGCGAATGCACAAAGGCTAGTGGAGAACGCGCTGAACCGCTCGTTACTGGAGCGCGTGTGCAACCTGCTTCGTGTTTTCTCGAACGTATTCTCCAGCTGCCGAGCTGGATTGACGCTTTCTGAAGCAATGATGCGACTAGGTGTGCTATTTACTGCTGCCAAAGGCTTCCCAACGGTCCAGCGCGCACTCGAGGTGGTATGGGAGCAAATGGAGCAGCCTCTTTTTGTATTGGCACATGCGCTAAATCCGCGCCTTCGCTTGCGCGATATTAACAGTACTGTGATCTCGAAGTTCAGTACCCTGAGTGATCTCAGCGTGTTGTATTTTACGTCTCTTTTCAAGCGCAGACCGAACTCGCTGCGAGGAGAGGTGACTGCATATCTACATGCGTCGCAGCAAGTGTTCACGGCCAATTTTGTCGCCGAGTTTCCCATCGTGGACGATTATTTTCGCTACTTGGGTGACGACTATCCGTCGTTATCCATGCTAATGCAAGTGTTGAACTCCTTGTCGCCAGTGTCGCTAGCAACCCGTGCAGCACATTCACCACCAAAGGCACCAGAAAAAGACGTGAGTGACAGGTATACTATCGACGAGCAGCTAAAGCTCGACTATCTGCGTGGCCGATGGGGAATTACATCTGGTGCTCCAATGTATGAAGCGCCTGGAGAAGAGACGAGAAGTCGGATTGCCGCGCACGATGACCGCAGTGGAGCAGCCATGTTGAATGCTGGCGTTGTCATGGATGAATGGAAGAAAGTCTTGACATCGAGGCTTCATGAGCGAGGCGTAGATCTTTCTTCGTCGTACGACCTGTTCAATGGCGTGAATGTATCCAACATATCGTGTGGCATCGCTGAACGAGGAGGCAGCAATGGAGCAAATGGAGATCAAGACGTGGCTCAACACAGTCTCAAGTTGCCGGCGCTGGAGCGTGACGACGAGCTGACGGTTCAATCGACTGGACTGCGCAGCGAATTCTCTACAAAAGTACCGCTCAAGGACTTGTTTAAATCTGCTGAGAGCTGTGTAGCTGACTGAATGAACAGCGCGTACCAAGAATGCGCAACAACAAGCCGACGAATATGAAAGCTCGGCATGACCTGTATTTCAATTACCGGATATACTTGGAAGCCAACATAGACTAGACCTCCTCCTTGAGCTTCGGTACTAGGTGCTGCACGGATGTGCAGGCAAAATCTTGCCCTCGCAAGACCCGAAGCCTATCCGGTAGCCATGACCCTGACAGAAGCCCGTGATCGCCACTGTGTCCCCGTCCTGCAGGAACTTGCGGGTGAGGCCGCTGTCTCCAAGTGCCACTTCGCGGGTTCCCTGCCAGCTCAGTTCCAGCATGGAGCCCATGCTCTCGTCCGTGCTACCGCTGATAGTTCCGCTGCCCAAAAGGTCTCCGGGTTGCATGTTGCATCCTGTCACTGCGTGGTGAACAAGCTGCTGCTTCATGTTCCAGTACATGTTGCGAAAGTTGCTCTTCGTCACGGTGTAGGCTTGCTTGGAATCCTCTGGTTTCAGCGAGACCTGATAATCACAAACAGTCAGTGTCAATAGACTTGCACCATTGAATTTTTGTACGACCCTCCATCCTGCGACGACGTACATTGAGGTTGATATCGTAGGTGCCGCGCGCGTAATTCGGGTCTGAGATGTAAGCCAGCGGCACAGGATCCTTCTGAGCTGGGCCGAAACTCGGTTCGCACCGAAATGGCTCCAAAGCCGCAAGGGGCACGACCCACGGCGAGATCGTAGTTGCAAAGTTCTTGGATCCAAAGGGACCAAGCGGAATGTACTCCCACTTTTGAATGTCACGAGCTGCACGCAAACGGATTCGACGCACCAAATTTAGTTCTCAATAATCACAGCAGCTTTTGCCGACGCAGAAACGTACCACTCCAATCGTTCATCAAGACGACACCAAAGATGTGGTCCTCTGCCTCACTCATTGAAATGGGGTCGCCAAGGTTGTTCGACGGACCCACGAAGAACGCCTGCAAACCAATAGCACGACAGCGTTAGAGCCGTGGAACAGTGTACGCAATGTGCAGTAAACAAAGAGCTGCTCGTGTCCGGTACTTGCCATCTCCAGCTCGTAATCAAGCACGCCGCACGGGCCGTGCTTGGACCCCTTTGATGGATCCTTCACGTCCACCTGCAGTTGACCACTGGGGCGACGGACATCAGTGCCGGACGTGACGATTGATGACGCACGTCCATGGTACCCGACAGGCAAGTGGAGCCTTCATTTCACATCGTAGAACACAAGAAGTCAGCAATCATTATGACTCGATCAAGCTGTGCCTCACCACACGTCTTTTTCCAACCACTGACGCACCAATTGGGCTGCAGCGCATTGTCTGCGCCTCGAAACATCTGGCCGACGTTGGTCGCATGCTCACGGGACGAGTAAAAGTCCGTATAGTCACCGACTTTAGCTGGTAAATGCATCTCCACGTCGTCCATGGGGATCAACGCGCGCTGGCGGAGCGCGTCATTGTCACGAAGTGTAGGTTCATCAGCTGACAGCAGTCGCTGGATCGTTGCGCGTGCACGGGACCAGACTTTCGATCCTTGAGCCATGAACCGGTTAAGTGACGACTAGGAGAGAGAAGAACGTGTGGCGTTAACTTGGACGTCACGTATCAAAGAGAGAGGGAGCGAGGGAGTTGCTGCTGGGGAGACGTACGTCATGGAAACACGCAGCGTCAAAGTCCTCGAAGTGGCCTTCCGTCTCGAGCACAGTCAAGTCGAGCACCTGCATCGGACGGTCAGAGCGGTCGGTCAAGAGCTAGCGAGAGAGAACGAGAGCTAGCGACGTACAAAGGTGCCGATGGCGACGCCCACGCGCTTGTGCTTGTTGCTTGGCGTGGTAAAGATGCCATACGGAAGGTTTTGGATGGGAAAGTCGCAAGTGGCAGCGACGGAGACGAAGCTCATGATGGTGAGGACGATTGCGCGCTTGGCGTCAAATGGGGAAATGGCAAGTGGTTAAGTCGTGTCCGTGTGGACGACACACGTGGTTAGAAAAGGGCCAGTGACTTGCTCAATGAATGCGACAAAGAGTCGGGACGAACTTCAACTTGTGTCATCGATGAAGCGTCGCGATTGGCGTCAAAACCGTAAACTCGTCTCATCGATTACGCCATGCGATTGGCTTCTGTGTCGCGTCTATGTGCGACGCGCTGTTGTTCGTCACGCATCGCTCGACCAATGACATGCTTCCATTGGAACGTGCAGCGTCGTCGACGTCACGAAAAGCCGTCACGGCCGCCTTCTGGGCCTCCAAGAAAGAAAGAAAGACGATGGATACAGGGTATGCCAATCTCTAGGTGACCGACCTACGAAACGTTGCAAGACGCGCCATTGCTCGGGTATCATTGAGCTTCTTCTCTGCATCGATTTGGCAGCATAAGGCACACAACGATGACGCTTTTGCGTCGTCGAACAATAACAACCAGAGAAAGAAATGATGGGTTCGATGGACGTCCGTTTAAAAGGTGAACGACATGTTGCCCTCGTCGTGGCGGTCTTGACGCTTGCGAAGGCGCTCGAAGCGGGCGGTGAGTTCGTCAAAATCCGGGATCCCTTCGCTACTTGGTGGAGTCGGTGCTGTAGCTGCGAGTGGAGCGGCAGGAGGAAGCGGCAACTCCTCCATGTAAGGGGCCGGCGGCGGTGGTCGCATCGGTTCGATGGATTCCTCGTCGTCATCACTTTGGTACATAGGAACCGGTGGCGACGACCTCGTGGAAAAGTAGTGCGTTGGCTGGTTCGTGTAGCTTTGCACTGTCCGTCGCGACGACGACAACAACAACGAGCTATCGTCAGTAGCTTCGACGTCCGAAGTGCCAGAAGGGACGGTTGATACGTGACGCATACTGGCGCCAGACACGGAAGAACCCTGCAGAATATCCACCTGTCAGTTAGAAGAACTTCCTCATGTAGACTGATGCTAAAAAGCTCGACAAGAGCTCGACGCTCCAAACGTCGTACACATGACCGTACCAAAGCATGCAGAGGTGCAAAGTCGGATCCTGAGACATTTGCACTCATGACGGTGGTTTAGCCTGTGAGTATTGGACTCGGTGCCAGCGGTTCCACCGCCTGGGCTTCATAGGGATTCCAGTCCACGTGAAACTCTCGCGCAATCTCCTTCATGTAGTTCACAACAAGGCACGCACTCGGCGGTTGCACACTGAGCTTCTGCATCACGCGCTCGTTCACGCACCCGCCGACATTGCGACTCGCTGCTGCTTCGAAATCCTGCCCGTACTTTTTCGTGAGTTGTCGCTTCACCTCTGCCAGCTCGGGGACTTCCGTCCGACTGGCTGCCCACATAAGCGTGCACACTGCCTCGCGCATATCGCATGGACAGTCAAATTCACTCTTGATCAGATTCTACGTGGTTACAAGAACGCATCAAGGCGTCAGTTCGGCAAGTACACGGTCCCAGAAGCTCAATAAGCAGTCATGAACGCACAGCTCGCTCCGCCAGGAGATCACACAGCAGTTCCAAGATTTCGTAGCCTTCGATAGTAAAGTCATCGCGTATGATTCCTTCGACCTGTGAGTGTGAGCGGATACACACAAAAAAGCACAATCAATAAGTACCGATCGGGACGCGCGCCAGTCTAAAACTGCTTTTTTCGCACCCGAATGCGAGCTTTTTCTTCTTTTCCTTCGCGTAAAAGCCGCGCGACTTCACGACGCTGTGCCAAAGCTGCGTGGGCTTTCTTGTTCTTGACAATGCCGATGCGGTGCACCGCCATCGTGAGGTTCGGCTTGAGCTTGTTCACATTGAACCCGAACATGCTGACTGCGTCTTTTTCTAAAAAGTTGTTTTCTCGCAACCGAGCCTATCGCGTTCAAAAATGGTCCAATTGGCGGAAATTGTACACTATCCGTAAACTGTCACACCAGCGGGATACCCACAGCATAAAAACGGTATTAACAACGGTGTTTGGTCCACCCATTAGCTGCTGATTAAGACCGCAATTTGTCTGTGGTCGCTCGCGTCAATCCGCCCACGACATGGGCTTCTTTCGCCCAGTAAACGTCCTTCGCGTGACATTCGAGCCGCTCTGCGTCAACGACGCACTCGACTCCGACGTGCTCGAGTTCATAAGCGGGTCTGCTGCATTCATGTCGCTCACACGTCGCATAGCCTCCTCTGCCGCAGCCTTCCTTCGGCTGCGGAACAACCGCCCTCGCTTGGGCTTCATGGGGGCCACACTGACGCTGTCTGACCCAACGCTCGAGCTCGAGCCGCTGCGCTCCAGCAGCTGCAGCTGGCGCCGCTCGACCACCTCACGCTTCTCAAAATAGACCACGTCCGGGTCGTCGTCCCTCTTCGACGACGGCGAGTGGCTCCTGGAGCTCGAGCCTCTGCTGCTCGACGGCTCGTCCTTGCTACTGTCGCCACAGTATTCCTTGTGCAGCACGCGACAGTAGTACCAGCCTGTGATCGTCACGTAGGAGAACCAGACAAAGGCGTTCTTGCGGAGCCTGGCGCTGCTCGCGAGCGTTGCGACAAACGCCACGAGCGCTAGCAGCAGCCACAGCAGGACGCCCATTCTCCTCCGGCCCTCGCTCCCGTCTTTTTCCCTCTTCTTCTTGTTGTGGTCGTCGCTCGCACGTCACGAGTCACCGTTCAGTCCAAAAGTGAGTGAGTGCTTTTTCTTCTTCTTCTTCATCTGCGCTCGTCCACGGCATTTTTTGTATGGGGCGTGTGTGCGGTTGTGTGTTACACACGAAACGGTTGCAAGCCTGTCGAGGCGTTGCTGCCACATTGTTGTACACGAATATCGTTCGCCGTCGTCGTCGTCGTGATTTGTCTCTGCTGACTGGGATAGACTCAAACAAGGAGTGCAAATAAGCTCAATGATCTCGTCAATTGTGTTTTTGGTCCGCAAAAGACCGCGATCAGCTTGAAAACGCCATTGGCGTCGAACAGTAGTCGTAAGTGGAAGGGCGAAAGTGAGAGAAGCAGCAAGGTGAATAAGGGCGATGTATAAAGAGCCTTTAACGGAGCATTGCTGATTGCAACATCGACTCTAGGCAGTAACAAAGGTGCATAAAGCACCTGATGTCTCAGTTCAACACATCTCGTCACTTGTAAAAACGACCGCCAGGCGAAACACGTTGCGCTAGCGACGACACCGACACAGTGGAAAGTGGGTCGAGTCTCTGACATGGAGCGATGTTGCTCACGTTGATGTGCAGCGAATCGAGAATGCTTGTGTGAGCGCGATGCAGACTTCAGAAGCAAAGGCTGTAGCTCAATCGGACCTTGATGCTCCGATACATTCTTCTGCTTCTATGCACCGACTGTTCTTGTCACATCTTCGCTTTTTACTACAGCTTTGCTGTGCGCCTGCCCGTCATCGGACTGCTTCCGCTTACCTAGACGCTCCCTCACTTCCGGCATATCTTGCTCACGTCGCCGGACGCTTTTCGGAATCCATGCGTCGTGCTTTTCGCGACGCAAGTCAGTCAGCGGACAGATTGGCACTCGGCCCGAGGTCCACGGCTCGGCCTGAGCTGCTTGCGTCGGCGTGCTTATCAGCTGAGAATACCATTTCTCACGCAGCTCGCACTTCTCATGCTCATCAAGATCACCACGGATGTGTGGAAACCAATCCAGTAGTCGCTGAAGCACGAGTGCTGTGGCCACGGACAAGTTAAGGCTCTCGCTAAAGCCAAAGAGCGGCAAATACACACGTCGATGTGCCGCTCGCAGCATCTCGACGCTCACACCATCCGTCTCCCGTCCAATCACAAGTGCCAAGCGGGATGGCAGCTCCGTGGGTTTATTACCAATGACGAGCGGCTCTGCTCGAGGCGACAGGTCCGTCGCCCAGATGGTCATTTCACTCGCTCGCAGCGCCTCCAGACAAGCTGCAATGCTCGAGAACTCGCGTACCGTGAGCCACAGTGCACAGTTCTTAGTGATCTTCTTGCCGCTGCTGCTTTTCTTGCTGCTGCTTGTCTTGCCCTGTTTCTGGTCCGAATGCGTCTTGAGCTGCTGCGAATTGGCTGCAATGAGCCACACGTGCTGCACACCCAATGCTTCAGCCGTCCGGAGCACGGCCTGGTGGTTGTGCGAGTCCATGCACTGCTCTAGCACTAGCACAAGGCGACTTGTGCGATGCTGTAGCACGGTCTCGGCTCGTCGAAGACGTTCTGGGGCCTCGTCTGCATGTCGAGGAGCTGCCGAGGCGCCGTTCATGGAGCTACTGGATCGGCGTCGTATTTCTAGCCAATGATCGTTCGCATGGCCCTCAATTGACAAAAATATATACAATTGAGAGATAGTCAGCTGAAAATGGGCCCATTTAGATTTGGATACTTTTAAATTAATGTTTAAGCGTTTATAAACGCGCTGCAAAGTACAGGTGAGATTTAGCCAAAAGTTTTTATTCGGGAAATGGAGACGAGCCGGGCCGGGACTGCGTTCAGCAAACCACTTTGATAGTGGCGCACGCCATAATTACCCATGATTCAGCTAATACTGGCGATTGCTAAATCTTATCAGTGGCTAATTGTGGTGCCCGCCAGATCGTCACCCAAATGCAGGTTTACTCGACACATTATAGCGTGAATCTGTTTTATTGATAATAAAGGAGCGCTTACAAAGTATTGACTGCAGTACCTCGGTCTGCTTGGTGTGCAGAATGCCTTCTGGAGCGAGGTCTGTTCAACTGATCCGGCAATCATCCTTCTCCCACTCTACAACAGATGACAGGCCTTTGGCTGGCAGAGGGACCGATCAGGCCAGAGGAGCTCGTTAAAAGGCAACTCTGGGGTGTGTGGTAAAAGTGAGAATGAATTGAATGCTAGCGATAGCGCGTGGCGCTCTATGTAACGGGGAACCCTTTTTTCGGGGTGCCGCGAAACTTCACGTACACTAGTACGTGCAGAGGAAGCTAAGCTACTTAAACGACTCGATCAAGTAAGGTTAAGAGAGAACTGTGTTTAATATAGTTAAGCTATCAATATAACTTGAATCTTTATCTAACTATACTAAACTACATCGTCGTATGACGACAACCTGTTCACCACTCATTGCGCGCGTCTAGCAGCGATTGGTGGCAATCTATGGTTGATATGTCTTATATTAATCAATCTTGGAGCAGCAGACGAATATTGTCCAAAAGGGGATCACATTCCGTCAAAATTACCCATCCCGGATAATATCGGTAGAATATTGTCAAACTCGACAATATTCCAATTGACACCGTTTGGCGCCTATTTCATGTAACAGGCTACCCTGTTACATCACCCCACCTTAACCATCAATCACCCGTTGATTGAATTAGAATTGATTGGGACAGGGTGACCACCGCTGGATCACCCTGGAAAAGGGAGCACTTGTTGGTCAAATCCTATTCATTTGCCAATATAACGCATGGTTACGAAAACCACACGAGTTGCTACTGCAGCAGCAAGAAGAGCGGCTGCACGCATGCGTGCGGCCGCGGAAAGTGCCTCTCACGCCTCAGCAGCAGGCGATTCGTCGCCTGTTGCCGTGGTTCCTCCACGTGAAGAGTCACCACGTGCGTCAGGTACATCCGTTGCGTCTGCAGCGGGTACCTCGGGTCGTAATCAAGACGAGTCTGAGATAGAGCTTATCTATTCTGGAGAGTCGGATGATGCAATCCTACTCGAAGGCGACTCCTCACGCCTCGGGATCACCCGGGGCGGACGATGCAAAGCCAGGCTGACTGGTCAGCGCGGCAGCATCATGACCGAGGTCTTCGGATCGAGTGATTAATCCGATGCGTCTCCGCCTCACGCAAGTCCATTCAACGATAGGACGCGTGGAGATGGTGGCGATGCACCTATGCATCACCACGAGCGAATCAACTCAAGGGATCGGGGTAACACTGGTGCCAGTGCTCATGCTGGCACCAATCAAGAGGCCAGGGACCGAAATGTCCTGCGCCACGCTCCTCAAGTGGATTCTCCGTGGATGGCGTCATCCAGAGAGTTGGACCGGTTGGCCGGCATGACTACCGAACGGGATCAAATCCCGTCGTTCGATTGCAGGTAGATTTGCCCACCTGATTCCAGCACGGAATCTATCCGTGCTGAGAAGGAGTTCTTCACCGATGCGTTCTTCAAACATCGGTGGTACAAAAAAGCCGTGTATGTAACGGGGCACATTAAAGCTTGTACTGGTAACAGTACAAGCTACTTGTTCTGATGACAGAATAAGGCGGTGCCTCGTAACTTCACGTACACTCGTACGTGCAGAGGAAGACGGTAAGAAGAAGCGAGTACTTGGTTAAAGTAAAAAGTAGAACTGTATTTATAATAGTTAATGTCTGCAATAAATCACTATTGCTAACTATGTCTAAATACAAATGTGTAAATCAGTTATCTGCTCACCACTCATTGCGTGCGTCTGTCGTGGCGCGTCTTCGTTGGTTGATATAATGGCCTATATCAACCAATTAGGAACTACTCGTGAGTGCTACAGAATGTTTGTCCTTATGACAATATTCTGAGAATATAACTATTATAGTTATATTCTATTAACAATTTCTTATAAATTGTTATGTAACGATTCACCCCGTTACATCACCCCCCCTTAACCATCAGTCACTTTAGTGACTGATTGACTAAATGGATACTCGTCCCAAATCATTTGAGACAGGGTTTGCACTTGTTGGTCCGAGTCCAATTTCCAACAGTTCTTCGCATGGTTAACAAGCCCATGCGGTGCGCGAGCAAGGCCGCCGAGAGCGCGTCCGCACGTCTCTGCGCGGACGCCGAAGCAGAAACCACAGCAACTAATGTCTCATCGGTTGCTGAAGCGACCCAGCCTGTGTCACTTGGTGATGCAGGTGCTCGTCATGAAGACACTCATGTCTTCACAGAGTATGAGCTTGGTGTCTCATACTCTACCGAAACGGAAGATGGATCTGTATCGACGGCGATCGAATCCAAGCCGCCTGCCAAGCGTGGCATGGACGATGCTTTGCGTCGCAGCATCTTTGGTTCATCTGATGAATCAGATGAACCATCGCCGAAGCGAAGGCGCTCGAGGTCGCGAGACTCGGGCGCTAACAGTAGTGTCGGTTCTCCTATGGACACCACTTCACAGCGAGGTGCCAGTACTTCTGTCGGCACGTCGCAGGAAGAGCGGGATCGCAATGTCTTGCGTCTCGCTCCCGAGAAGAAGGCATGGATGCCTCCTAAATCTGTCATGGATCACTTGTCGGCGACGACGAGTGATCGTTATCGAACACGATTGTTCGATTCGTCAAGGATCCATCACCTTGACCCCAGCGCGAAGAACTATCGCGCTGAAAACGAATTCTTCATCGATGCTTTCTTTAGAACATCGATGGTACAGTGGGAATCACAAACGTGGTGGTCCCTCACTGCTTCGAGCGTGGAACGCTTACATCCACAACCTTGAGAATGTAGGTCGTGACGTTTGGAACGACAAACTTATCAAAGCTCGTGATAAGTCTGAAAAGAGAACCCCGACAGGTGCACGCTACAAGCTGCATCGTCTGTCTAGGGAGGGTGGATTACCCTGTCTCTCCTGAGGAGATCCGTGCCCTTGTTGGGTGAACAACTCTACGCTCGCACCTAAGGAGGCTTACCTCCTTACTAGCCCGTGGTGGCGCGTAAGTATCTCTACTGAGATGTACGAAGGGGTTGACAACCTGAAATCCCTTTACGACCGTGCCGGGAAGACTTTCTCCGGCGTTCCTTCTGCGGCACAGGATGTGCCGCGTCGTACTGCTCGACCAGACCCAGTACGTCAATCATCAGTTGGGAGCGGGGCTCCCAAGTATCCCAGGACGGGGGATAGCCGCGCCACCGGACGAGATAACTCGTCCGACGTCCGTTCACGTCGCGGTGGTTCATCAGCTGCTCAACCAAATAGCGCTGGCCACCGCAAGAGTCCTCTAATGGAGGTGGAGGAGGAGGAAAGACGCTCTCCAAACTATCGTGGGGATCCGTGTGTTCCCGAGAGCTTCTTTGATCGCGTAACGCAAGCGTTACGCGGCGATCTCGAGCATGAGCGGGACAGGCGTCTCCAACTGGCGGACACTGTCTTGAAGCATCGAGCTGAGTTGCCTTTGCTCAGCTTGAGAACGAGAGATCTCTGACATCTCTTCGTGACGAGCTAAGGTAGCTCGTGGGATTGTTGATTGGTCTCGGGATGAGATGACTGCTCTTCAGACCCTTGTCGATGGCCACCATCGGGAGCACAAGGCTCTCTTTGAGATGCTTGAGCGCAAGGGAGTTCTTGATCGGAAGAAGCAGCGTACTGATGGTACTGCTTAAGCCGACCAACGTAAAACGTGGGATGCGTTCGCATCTTACGTGGCAACTCGATCGTGTATGCATTGCCTAGGCGGTGCAATGCACGAAATGGGCCGATGTACTTGGGTAGTAGTTTTTTTACTACTACTTAAGTTCGTCAATAAATGCTTTGGAAGATTAACCGTAGACAGTAGGACTAAATCACCTTTATTAAATAAAAGAGTGTTTGCCCTTCCATTCTTGTCAGCGTTTTGCTTTTGCTTATCCACCGCTTCGGCGATGGAATCTTGCACAAAACGGACTACCGTTTCACGAGCCAGTATGAACTCATCTGATGACTCGTTAGCTTCAGTGCGCTGTGAGCGTACTGCAGCAACATCAACCTTTTCTTCAGTGAGGGCTTCCGCACTCTCACTGGCATCATCTTCTTCGATATCGATGTTGTCGATATCGGCATCAAACGCAATGACTTATTCGTCAGAGCGTGATGAGCGTGAACCAATTTGGTTTTTGCTCGCGCGAGTCCCTCCCCCCTTATACCAGAGTTACACTCGAGTAAGGTGGGTACACGCGGATGGCGTAAGCCATTCACGTAAAACGGTGTATGTGTCGTGGACGCATGCACCGAGTTGCTAATGGCAAACTCTACATCGGCAAAAACTCCCTCCAACTCTTAAAGGAGTGTACGTATCCTCGAAGTATCTCTTCAAGGACACGATTGGCACGTTCCGTCTGACCATCTGACTCTGGATGATCAGATGTAGACATCTTCAAGCGCGTTCCGAGTGATTTGAACACGGAACGCCAGAAATCAGCAGTGAATCGTGGATCTCTGTCTGATACGAGTTCACGGGGCAACCCATGAAGTCGGAAGATGGTGTCGATAAAGACACAAGCACATCCACTTGCCGTGATTGACTCTGGTACAGCCACAAGGTAGACCATTTTGCTGAATCTGTCAACAAATACGAGAATACTCGTATTCCCGCGTGCGTCTTTGGGTAACCCGAAGACGAAATCCATTGAGATGGATTCTCAGCACTCAGCCGGAACCGGTAGAGGCTGTAAAGGTGCACGCAGTGAAGGACTTGACTTCACTCGTTCGCAGACTTCGCATGCGCGAACATACTTTCGCACAAACTGATACTGGCGGGGCCAGTAAAAGTCTCGACTCACCGTGAGATATGTTTTCTCCCGGCCACGATGTCCTCCTATAGGAGCATCGTGATACTCGAACATGATCCGCAAACGCAGATCAATATCATCTGGAATGACAACACGTGGTGTGTCACCAGAAACGGCTGTATAGTACAGTAAACCGTTACGAGTAGTGTATCGATCTGATGCAGATCGATACGCAGACGATAACTGTTTCAAAGATTCTCGAGATGGTTGTGAGAGATGTGTCAACAACTTCACAATCTCACCATCTTGGGCATACGCCCGCCTCACATCATCATGTAACGTTGAAGATGGTAAGGTGGACGTCATAACCTCAACAGTGGCTGTCTCACTGTTGGGGTTCACGACTGGTTCAAAGTCGGGACGACGTGAGAGTGCATCAGCGACGACATTAAGTCGTCCTGGTTTGTACTCGACCTTAAAGTTGTATTCTGCAAAGAATGACAACCACCGCGCCATTCGTTGTGAAAGGTGCGGGCTGTTTACTGCCGTGCGTAACGACGCATGGTCAGTGTAAACAATGAAGGGTCTATCTCCTAGTAGATAGACTCTGAACTTCGCGAGTGCATACTTCATGGCAAGGAGTTCCTTGTCACGCAATGAATAGTTCCACTCAGCTGGTTGCAGCTGACGCGACTGATAGCAGACGACGCGTTCAACGCCTTCAAGATCGTACTGCATTAATGCACAGCCGATGCGAAATCGCTGGCATCACAGACCACATGAAATGGTCTATCCTGATCGGCTATTGCTAGTACCGGGGATTGTATCAAGCTCTGCTTGATACCATCACTGGAGCGCTGACATTCAGCGTTCCATAACCACCTCTCGTTCTTTTTCAACAAACGAGAGAGGTGCACAGTCATCTCGGCGTAATTGCGTGAATACTTATACAAATACGCCGCTAGCCCAAGGAATTTTCGAAGACCTTTGACATCAACCGGCACAGGCCAGTCGGTGATCGCCTTGATCTTTTCGGATCAGGACTTACTCCGTTCTTACCAACGATGCATCCAAGCAGTGGTATTTCGCTTGCTGCAAATGTACACTTCTTGAGGTTTGCATAAAATTGATGCTTTCGCATAATTGTAAGAACCTGTCGGACGTGGTATCTGTGAACCTCAACGTCCGACTTTCCATCCATAGCCCGACTATGGATGAATACGTAATCGAAATAACTCGGCGCGAATTCTCGTACTGGTCTCAACAGATGTGATACACATCTGTTGAACGTGGCAGGGGCATTACTAAGCCCTTGTGGCATTACTAGCCATTCCCAGAGCATGCCGCTAGGCGTGCTAACTGCGGTATAGGGTATATCCCGTTCTCGCATAAGGATTTGATAGAAGCCATCCATCAAATCCACGGACGAAAAGATGGTACTCTTTGACATACCATCAATGATTACGTCCTTCCTTAGTATCGGCGTCTGAGCCGGTACCGTTGCAGCATTCAACTTATTAAATGCATGCACTATCCGCCACCCTCCTGTTGCTTTTCGCACACAGAAGGTCGGGGAGCTATGTGGGGAAGTTGATTCCCTCAAATGGCCCGCAGCTAAACGATCGGCAAAGAACTTGTCGATCGCAAGTACTTGTTCACGAGGCAGTGGCCACTGCTTCATGACACAGTACTTCGAGCCTGTTTTAAGCTCGACCTCGTGTCGAATACCTTTATCCTTCGGTAATTCGCACGAAACAGTTTCAGGGAATACATCCTTGAATTCAACCAAATCTTTATGAAGAGGATTTGTCTTGAGCAATTCCCACGATTGGGATTTAAATCGCTCAACTCGTGTCTTTTCATCTAGGACACTCTCGTCCATCGATGAAACACTGAGAACTCTCTCGTTCTCAGTAAACATTGTTGCTGACCTTATGTCGGCTACACACTCGTCGTCAGCGACGAGTACGCAGATCTGCTTGACTTTGCCACTACGCAGATCACGCAAGAACCTTTTATGTTCGAGCGTTGGCAACTGAGTGATCTCCGAAGTCAACTTCGGAGGCGCAAATAGATCAAGTGTGTAAGCGCCCACACTTGATCCATCATTGACTATGACATTCAATGTCTCTGTCATTTCCTGGGGACTTATTCCCTCAGGCTTCGAAGGACTTATTCCTTCGTCTTCCCGGGGACTTATTCCCGCGGGTTTCGGGGAACTTATTTCCGCCGTGTTTGTAATCTTGGGACTTATTCCATTTACTTCCTCTAGCTGGGGTTGCGCAACCACAGCGAGATCCTCTACGAAAGACTCTCCAGTCGATCTAGGATTATCGTTTCGCTTAACCTGAGCGATCGATTGTTTCTCTTCTAGATGTTCCCCGCTAGGGATACATCTTTGTCCCAGTCCACCCGACTTATTCGAGTGGTGGACCTTCGGCGCAGCCTGTGTTTCCTCACAGCCGCCGGAACTTTGCTCCGAAGTGTAACCGTTTGTTACACTAAGGTTTTGTGCAGTCGTACTAACGACCGTACCACAAGTGAGGCCATCGCACTCACTCGTAGTACATCCACACGCTTGTGGACGCTCCAAAACGTTCATCAGATGGCCATCTGATGAACAAGCGGCAGGCATCGTTACTGTTCGATGCTGCCAGTTTACCCGTGGTTCGTACCTTCTCAGCCACGGTATTCCAAGGATGACTTCAAATTTGTCATCCAAATCCAATACGACAAAGTCATCGTCATATTGGGTATCTTCTAGCGTATAGTGGATCTTCACTATACGCTTCATGACGGTTACGGATGCGCCTGTCGCAAGACGTACCGTCATCCTCGTAGGAGGTGTGTCACATTCACTGAACTTAAAGTGACCATCTTCTAGCGATTGGCGTCGCACAAAATTGTTGGACGCCCCACAATCGACTAGAGCTCGAAGGGACAACTTATTTGTCACTTCGAGTTTCAAGGTAATGAGTGAGATCTCATTACCTAGAGCAGCAACGCACAACGTTTGTGTGTTGGGAGCAACCTTAATCAAATGGCCTACAAATTCTCTTGACGTTGCTGGACCAGTAGGGTGCTCCGCACCTACTGATCCTATCCTTTTTTTGACGGTCCATCCCGCTGTTGCGTCTTTGCACCAACAGCGGACCCTCGTCCCTGCCCCTTTCTCACGGGTGGACGGTCACTACGCCCAGTGTTGCGAGACACTGGACGAGGGGCACTACACTCGTAAGCGTATTGTCTTGTCTTCTGACATCTGTTGCATCTCTGCAACTTCTTGTAGTCTGTAGAGCGAGCCTTCTCGCTCTCTAGATAACAGAGTTCCATCGGCTCTGGACCTCCGTTGTCATATCGTCTCGGTTGACGAAATGATGTCGAGCTGGCGCGAGCCTGTCTAAGACTGAAGTCTTCCTGCTCCGCAATGGAAATGGCTTGTTCTAGTGAATCTAGTTCAAGCCGGAACAGGTGAGTCTTGACGGGACCATCCGCAAGACCCTGCATGAACACCGAAACCAACGTGTGTTCATCGACCGGATTGGAACTTATACAACTCGTGAGATGTCGTATATGTTGCGCGTAAGCGTGCACATCACGCTTACCCTGCTTGAGTTTCAAGAGTTCGGTTCGAGCTCTGAACTCATCTCTAGGCGGTTCAAACGTTTGTCTGAGCCGCGACTTGAAGACTTCCAACGACCCAAACGCATATGGGTCGTGCAACTTGAGCCCCAGTGCCCAAGTCTTGGCACGTCCTGCCAGATTTGACTGGGCAAATGCAACTTGCATATCCCCGTCGTTGATGCGACGCGCCCTTATGGCGTCATCCAATTCGACGAACCATCTCAAGAGGGAGTCCTCTTCGACTCCCCTATACTTGGAGATGTCAATCTTCAAGGTTTCGGGTCGACGCGAGTGCATCGACCCGCCAGCAGCAGCCTGCTGCTGTCTCAACAGTTCAAACTGTTGAGCACCCTGTTCTCTCAACAACTCTGCTTGTTGAGAACCTTGTTGGTGAAGCAAGGCTACTTTCTCGCGTTCTGCGTCAAGTTCATTATGAATGAACTTGGCAATAGTAGCATGTTGGGCATCTCTATTGAGAGCCTCTAGCATGACGCTAACAGCATGGATGCCCATGGTTGAACCCATCCGTTCAACCGCATCCCATTCGACATCGCTCAAATGGGAGTAGCTATCACGCGTAGCGTGAACGCTTTTGTCATCTTCATCATCTAACATGTTCATGTTAGATGTGAACGTGGTCCTTGGACGGACTACGAAGTGCTACCAGGTGTAACGGGGCACCCTGAAGCTTGTACTGGTAACAGTACAAGCTACTTATTCTAATGACAGAATAAGGCGGTGCCTCGTAACTTCACGTACACTCGTACGTGCAGAGGAAGAAGGTAAGAAGAAGCGAGTACTTGGTTAAAGTAAAAAGTAGAACTGTATTTATCATAGTTAATGTCTGTCAATAAACCACTGTTTATCCTCATCTAACTAAGTAGAACTGTATTTATAATAGTTAATGTCTGCAATAAATCACTATTGCTAACTATGTCTAAATACAAATGTGTAAATCAGTTATCTGCTCACCACTCATTGCGTGCGTCTGTCGTGGCGCGTCTTCGTTGGTTGATATAATGGCCTATATCAACCAATTAGGAACTACTCGTGAGTGCTACAGAATATTTGTCCTTATGACAATATTCTGAGAATATAACTATTATAGTTATATTCTATTAACAATTTCTTATAAATTGTTATGTAACGATTCACCCCGTTACAGTGTACGAGACGGCAGAGCCTTGGTGCAGGGATGGAATGCCCTCATCCACACCATCGAGTGTATTGGCCGTGAGGCTTGTCTCGCCAAACTTGATGCAGCTCGCATCGGGTTTGAGAAACGCAACCAGTCGGGGCGAGATTCAAGTTGCACCGGCTGTCAAGAGATGCAGGATTACCCTGTCTCTCGTGTGGTGATTCGTGTCCAGGTTGCCTGGACAATTCGAACCGTGCCCTAATGGAGGCTTTCCTCCCTAATGATCCCTACTGGAGGGAGCGCATCTCTTCGGAGATGGCCGAAGGGATTGACACTTTGCAATCCCTATACTCGCGTTCGGATAGGTCGTTTTCCTACGGTCCTTCTTCAAACGCAGCGAGTGGGTCTCGTCGTACTGCTCGACGAGACCAAGGGCATCAACAATCAGCTGGGCACGAGGCTCCCAGCTGTCCCACACCGGTGGATAGCCACGCCAGCGGACGAGGTAACTCGTCCGGACGCCATTCACATCGCGGTGGTTCAAAATACGCTCCACTAGGAAGCATTGACCACCGCTTGAGTCCAACAAAGGATGTGGTGGCGGCGGGAACACCTGATCCGGCTAGAGAGTCGGATCAAGTTGATGTTCAGAGCTGCAACCGTCTAACGGAACAGTTGCGAGATGACCTGGCTCATGAACGATCTCGGCGTTATGGGCTTGAGGATCTTGTACGGGATAATTATAATTCCCTAACGCGCGATCGTCCAAACGATCGTGCCGCTTTGCGTTCGCGCAACTTGAGAACGAACGTTCGGCTCGTTCTCTTCGTGATGAGCTGGCTGCTGCTCGTCGAGATATCGCTGAGCTGCGTGAACAGGTCGCTTCGCTAGTTGACCAGACTGGCTCGTTGAAACGGGATTACTCGAAGGTGGTCTCGGCCCTCGACCGTGAAGGTGTTTTTCGCATCTTGAAACGGGCTCGTACTGATAGTACGGGCGGAGAAGACCAACGTAAAACGTAGGATGCGTACGCATCTTACGGGGCAGTTCAATCGTGTATGCGTTGCCCATTCGGCGCAATACACGAAATGGACCGATGTACCTGGGCAGTAATTTACTGCTGCCCACGTTTGTCACTGCGTGCTTCGGTAAGTTTACTGTAGAAAGTAGTACTAAATCTCCTTCATCAAATGAAGGAACATTTGCTCTTCCATGTTTGTCTGCGTTTCTCTTCTGTCTGTCTAGCATCTGCAACAGAGTTTTGAGCGAAGCAGACAACCGCTTCGCGAGTCAGCAAAAAATTCCTCTGCTGATTCATCCTTGTCAACAGCATTGTGCCTCGTGTGCACTGCTGAAAGAACGTTGTCTTCACCAGTGAGGGTATCATCGTCCTCACTTTGGCGGTCTTTGGCGATACTGAATATGCCAGCATCGTCGTCATCGTCATCATCGACATCAATCCCATCGACATCGGCGTCCATCACGTCGACACCATTGTCGACAGGTGATGAGCAAGAACCAGATCGGTTTTTGTTCGAGCAAGTCCACCCCCCCATAAACTAGAATCACACTCTAAGAAGGTGGGTAAACGTGAATCACGTAGGCCATTCACGAAGAACGGTGTATGCGTTGTCGACGCGTGCACCGAGTTGTTGATGGCGAATTCCACCATCGATAAGAACTCACCCCAGCTCGTAAACGAGTGGACATAACCTCGAAGTATCTCTTCGAGAACGCGGTTAACGCGTTCCGTTTGACCGTCTGTTTCGGAATGGTCAGAAGTTGACATCGTCAAACGTGTTCCAAGTGAACGGAACACGGATTGCCAGAACTCCGCTGTGAAGCTGGGGTCCCTAATGGACACGAGTTCACGGGGTAACCCGTTAAGTCGGAGCATAGTATCGATGAAGACACGCGCACAGCCCTGGGCTGTGATTGACTCCGGTGCAGCAACAAGATGTACCATCTTGCTGAACCTGTCAGCAAACACAAGAATACACGTATTCTTTTAAACGTCTTTGGGAAACCCGAAGACGAAGTCCATCGATACGGACTGCCAACACTCTGCCGGAATCGGAAGAAGCTGTAAGGGTGCGCGGGATGAAGGACTAGGCTTCACCCGTTGACAAACTTCGCAAGCGCGAATGCATTTCCGCACAAACTCATACTGGCGGGGCCAGTAGAAGGCACGACTTACCTTGAGGTAAGTCTTTTCTCTACCGCGATGCCCACTAGTCGGGGCATCGTGACACTCATTCATGATGCGCAATCGCAAATCATTATGAGCCGGAGCGACGACACGAGTGTGTCGCCGTTGACTGCTGTATAGTACAGCAGCCCATCACGGACAAAATACCGTTCGGTTGAAGAGCGGTATTGAGACGACAAGCTTTTCAAAGCTTGATTACACGGAATATATACGTAATCCACCAACCGCAGAAGAGACTCATCTTCTGTGTATGCTATTCGCACGTCATCAAGCAGATCTAACGACGTAACACTCACTGATAGTGTTGCAACAGTGGGACCACCCCTACTGTTGTGTGGAGCAGTCGGCTCGAAATCCGGCCGACGCAAAAGAGCATCAGCGACGACATTAAGTCGTCCTGGTTTATACTCGACGGAGAAGTTGTACTCCGCGAAGAAAGACAGATACCTCGCCATTCGTTGCGAGAGGTGTGGAATGTTTACGGCCGTGCGTAACGACGTATGGTCGGTATAAACGATGAAGGGCCTATCTCCCAAGAGATATACCCGAAACTTGGCCAGTGCATATTTCATGGCAAGGAGTTCCTTGTCATGAACCAAATAATTTCGCTCAGCTGCTTGCAGCTGACGCGATTGATAACAGACGGCGCGCTCAACGCCGTCTGAGTCGTACTGCATTAACGCGCAGCCGATTGCAAAATCGCAGGCGTCACAGACCACATGAAATGGCCTATCCTGATCTGCAATCGCCAACACATGCATTTGCACCAAACTTTTCTTGATACCTTCAAAGGAGTGCTGACACTCAGCACTCCATGACCACATCTTGTTTTCATCATTAGACGAGAGAGATGTACAGTCATCTCGGCATAGTTGCGCGAGTATTTGTGCAAGTACGCCGCCAAGATAAGGACCTTTCGAAGTCCCTTGACGTTGACTGGCAAAGGCCAGTCGCTAATCGCCTTGAATTTTTCCGGATCAGGGCGTACACCGTTTTTACCCATGATGCAGCCAAGAAGTGGTATTTCTTTCGTTGCGAATATACACTTCTTGAGGTTAGCGAACAACTCATGCTCTTGCATCAGAGTAAGAAATTTCTGGACGTGGATTCTATGAACCTCCACGTCCGTCTTTCCATCCATAGCCCGGCTGTGGACGAAGACATCGTCGAAGTAACTCGGTACGAAGTCGCGCACAGATCGCAAAATATTCTTAACACCTCTGTTGGACGTTGCGGGGGCTTTACTTAGCCCCTGTGGTATTACAATCTACTTCAATAGCATACCACTGGTGGCGCTCACTGCTGTGTACAGAATGTCCCGCTCACGCATGAGGATCTAATAGAATCCATCCATCAAATCCATGAACGAAAAGATGGTACTTTTTGACATACCATCTATGATGACACCCTTTCTTGGGATCGGCGTTTGAGCCGGTACCGTTGTAGAGTTCAATTTGCTGTACGTGTGCCCTATCCGCCACCCTCCTGTGGTCTTTCGCACACAGAAGGTCGGAGAGCTGTGGAAATGTTGACTCCCTCATTTGACCAACCGCTAATCGATCGGCAAAGAATTTGTCGATCGCTGTTACCTGTTCACGAGGCAGTGGCCACTGCTTCATGACACAGTATTTGGAACCAGATTTCAGTTCGATCTCATGCCGAGAGCCTTTGTCTTTGGGTAGCTTGCATGGCACGGATTCCGGGAAAACATCCCTGAATTCCACCAAATTCTTAAACAATGGATTCGTCTTTAAAGACTCTCAAGATTAAGACGTGTATTGCTCAATCCGAGTCTTCTCATCGACGGCACCCATGCCCATCGATGAGCTACTGAGAGCGTGTTCGTTCTCAGCAAACACTTGTGCCGACCGAATATCGGCGACGTACTCGTCCTCTGTGACGAGTAGGCAGATCTGTTTGATCTTGTCACTACGCAGATCTCGCAAGAATATTTTAGATTCTAGCGTTGGCAACTTGACCACCTCCGAAGCTGATTCCGGGGGCGTTACCAGATCAAGTGTATAAGCGCCTACACTTGATCCGTCATTCACGAAGCCATTAACTGACTCGGTGTTTTTCTGGAAAACACATCCACAGGTGGTTGGGGATCCACACCCCCAACATAACTCTCTCGGGAGTTATTGCTCTCAGGATCGCTGGAATTTGCTTCCGTTACGGGTACTATCATGGTCACGTCCTCTTTGATCGACTCTCTTTCAGTCTATCGGGATTGCTCTACGATCCACTCTCTGATAGTCGATCTCGCTTCAACGTGTTGTCCATCCTGAACAACACTAGTCTCTCTCCTCGGATGCACCCTTCTTGGTGTGCATCCGTGTTTCAGTCCACTCTATCTCTTCGAGTGGTGAACCTTCGGCGCATCCTGTGTCTCTACACAGGTGCCGGAAGCTGGTTCCACAGTGCAGTGTCCTTCTACACTGTGATCTTGTGCAGTCATGCTAACGACCGTACCACAAGTGAGGCCATCGTGCTAACTCGTAGTACGTCCGCACGCTGGTGGACGCTCCAAGACGTTCATCAAATGGCCATATGATGAACAAACGGCAGGAATCTTTACGGATCGATGCTACCAGCTGATCCATGGCCAGTATTGTCGAAGCCATGGCAGACTGAGGATGGCATTGAATTTGTCATCCAAATTTAGCGCGATGAAGTCATCATCGTATTACTTTCTTTCTCGTGTGTAGTGGATTACCACTACACGTTTGTTCACTGTTACGGATGCGCCTGTAGGAAGGCAAACCGTCATCCTCGTTGGAGGGAACTTTCGCTCAACATGGTTGAAACTATTATCCCTTAGCGACTGGCGTCGGATGAAACTGTTTGAAGCACCACAGTCAACTAGGGCGCGAAGTGACATTCCACTTGCCACTTCGATCTTTAAAGTGATGAGAGACTCCTCATCTCTAAGGGCAGTAACACACAGAGACTGCGTGTTGGGAGCAATCTTCGTCAAGTTTCCTGCACATTCTCTTGACGTTGCTGGATCAGCAGGGTGCTCCGCCCCTACTGACCCTGACCGTTTTTTTACAGTCCGACTTGCTGTCGAGGCTTGGCAACATGGTCGGTCCCACGCCTCGGACCCTTCCTTGGCCAACGGCGGTCATCACGTCCTGTTATCGGACGCGTCGCAGCGCTTGAGACACTACACTCATATGCGTAGTGTTCAATCTTTTGACAGCGGTGTCATCTTGCCGTTCGCTTGTGACTCAGAGAGCGAGAGTTCTCGCTCTCGAAGTAACAGAGGTCCATTGGTTCGGGAACTCCTTTTTCCTGTCGTCTAGTCGGACGATAGTTTGACGAGTTTGCCTGAGACTGTCTCAGGCTGAAGTCTTCTTGTTGCGCATACGCTATCGCCTTTTCAGCGTATGGAAGTCCTCTCGGACATTGCGCTGACTATCGACGCCAAACCTGTAAGCTTCTATTTCATGTGCAGAAACCGAGCAGCCAATCGAAACGAAGCCCCTCCACCGACGATGAGGCGAAAGTGTATGGGATCTTGATGACTATGCGATAGCGGTAGATCTGAAGATACGATTTATGCTCTTTCTTTTCTGGACTAGCAGTGTCCTCGCTCCTAGTCCAGAAAAGGTGACAAGAGCTCGCCTCTTAGTTGTCTCGTCGTTCGCATAATCAGGATGACAAAACATCTCCTTAAAGATAACATGGACGATGCTTTTGCTTACAAAGTGATATAAATGTGATTGTGATGCGCTAAAGTGAGATCGTATGGTATATCGGTGCACAACAGGAGCGTTCTTGTCAAAGAAAGTACCCTTCTGCTCATTTGACATGGACAAAATACGTCATCCAGTTCCGATGTTGCTGTGTCTTCATGTGATTTTGGTACACATTAGCACTAAATGTACGTTTGAATTACTGGATGTTGCTCGTGGCTGCCGCTTGGCACCAACCTTGTCTTTATGACCAAAATACACACAAATAGTCACAATATTAACATGACGACCTTCGTAGACGGGTCGCGCTTTCAGATCTTCAGACCGGATGCGATGATATGGGCGTTGTTATGGTTGTTTTACGCTCAGGAGGCATTGTTTGGGCAAATCGAACGTCCGAATATACGTGTATTGACAATCTGTGCCATATTGTCAATGTGGGACTCAGACACAATTGCGTGGTCAGGATGGGTCTGTGGAAAGAATTCTATTCAGCTTTTTTTTCACAAGAGGAGATCTCCCTTGTAAATATCCACAACTCTTTCTCAAATACGACCAAATCCTATTGGGTGCATATAAGTAAAACTGCAAGTGTACATTACAACTATCCTGCAGTATTCATGTGATTATATGCCACAATATGCACTCGAGAAAGACTATTTTGCAGACTCCGCTACGGATATATATAGTGGCACCTCTCAAAAGTTACTAGCGGCTAATAGTGACGCCGGGTATTGAAACGCTCTTATTGAAGTGGACCACTGATCAGCTGTCAATTGTCATAAGGTTAAAAAGTAGGAGTGAAGTAAAATAGTAAGTGACTCATTTATTTCGTGTACCAAAGACGCGCTTCAGCCCCCGCTGAAGGCCTTGTCGGTGGATTTGTCAACTAACTAGTAAAAAAGGAAAAAGTCTTCGAGCTATCTAAGATCTTATATTTTCATATTTAATCCAGAAGCCGCTAGAACAACCCATGTACTTGACGTAGGTTGAAGCCCTGGCGCCAAAACCATGTGCGACTTGCATTTTTTTTAAGAAGTCGAGGACATAATTAGGCGATTCTACATGGTGGAGATGGCTCGCAAGGGATTCTGTAGAGCCAGCACTTAGTTGCCGAGCGCACATCGGTAAGTTCGGTGTAGACTTCCAAAATGAATCCTACGCCTTACTCGTGCTGGATTTTCACTTACCGTACCAGGTCTTCTTATGCAGAACAGTGAAGGCTTCGTCAGCTCCGTATAGTGGCGATGATGCATAAAAAGATTGTCAATTAAGAGGCATGACACGCCGCAAATTCACGCCGTTATAGGCCAGCATGACTTGACGTGAAGTCCACACCCAGCTCCACACTGTTATGACAACGCAATTCATGATGACACATTAACGGCATATTGTGTAACTTTTTGTACGCCTATGTTCGTCGACCAGCATCTAGCGCCAACACTATACCCACCAGCGATTACTAATGGGGTGCGCAAAAGTACTGTTGCAGCAAGGTTACGAGACAAGTCACACTCTCGTATAACGGCAAGGTCGAACGTCAAGTCACAAAGTCGTACGGCAGCACGACTCAAAAGTCAACCTTGCAGCAACATCTCGGTTGCGTACCCGATTTGTAATCGCTAGTGGCTTTAGTGTTGGTGCTCGATGCAGTTCGACGAAATCTGCCCACGGAACAATACACTTGATCCTTAATGTGCTATCACTATTTGCGTTGGCGAGGTGGTGTGGAGCTGGTCGTGGACTACACCCCACATGAGCTAAAAACAAAACTTCATTTGGTGAGCCCGAAAAGGTAAGCCAAAAGTGACCGTGCGCAACGTGAATGCCGAGATTTCCAACCTTGTTTTTGTTTTTGTCTTTATAACTGCAAATAATGTGATGCGTACCTTACACATAGCACTAAGTGCGATTTCATGTCTCCTCGTACGTAGACGTCTTCTATAGGTGTAAATCTTCGATCAGTTTGCAATTCTGACCGCATTGTGGTGCAAGCCGCACACGCACCAAGATTTTAAATAATTGGCTCAAAAGTGACTAATGGCGAAGTGAAGGCTAAGGAAAAAATGCTCGACACTCAGGGGCAGCAAAACTCGTGCAACTCCAGCAAAAAGCTGACGTTTTGGCGACTAACATACCATCACCCGTGTTTCTTTGTAGGTGGGTTCTTAAAGTGCCACGCACTACCTCTACGCATACCTTTAGGCATCTAAGATAAATAAGTTTGACCAATTTCTCTCGTATGCAGCAAGGTTTGAGTGGGTGTCTTCCGACTGTCTCACGGATAGATGAATGACGTGCTTCACGTCAAGGCCCATTCTCTAGCTCTTATATCGAGCTTCGAGATAGCCAGCGAGACCTGTTAATGGTCAAGCGTTGTCAGGCCTGATCTCATGGCTATCTCAATCTCACGGATCCAGAGGATGAGGTTCTCACCCTCCTTACCGGAGTAGTTTTTCACTTCCACTCTAAGTAAACGAGGCCTAGCCTCTTCGTCTGGTACAGACACATAGCGTGTAGGCATAGCCGACGCTGCTTGGTCTTGGATCTGCTCTTAAAGGGTCGCTTCATACTGCTTGAAGATTTTAACACGTGCATTAAGCAATTCAGGACCTTGTGAAACAAGGAACTCCACGTACTCTGGACCCAAAGATGCGGTCAGATTATTAAGCGTGACCCTTTGGGCCTCAGAGAGGGGAGTGGGGTTTCCATCCTCACAAAGGATAAGTCTTAAAGACTCAGTCGTAGATTAACTACGAGTGCTACCAAGTGAGAGGGAGACTTATCGCTCTACGCGCAACTTAGTTCTAAAGAACTAACGACTCTACGAGTCAACAAGCTTTACAGCTTCAGGTCCCTGTTCCAGGTAACCTAATGATTCAGTGAATCAACAGCACTCAGTGCTCAAGAGTAGCTACCCCAAGGAGGTGTTGCTAACTCTTAGTGATCAGTGATCAACTATCAAGACGGCTCGCAAGCCACGTGTCCTTTAGATCAATATGGGAACTCCTTTTACTTAATGTTGGTACTTATAGAATATTTTAATCCTACTCAAATATCTTTCGTACCTAATGGGTGACACTCGTCAGCCCCTACAAACCGATAAGATATTCTATTTCACCTTCCTAGGGGTACCATCAGGTGTGTGACACACCTATTACATAGTACTCTGTTACGTGCAACCCCGTTACAATATGGGTGCGGTTCAAAATCATAAAATGTTTCTCTAGTCCTAATTCTTTTCTGTTGGCTCTGGCTGACGAGAATTTGTCGTTGTTAGCGCCATAGTAAGCGAGAACGCCTTCCTTAAAGCCAAGCCTTCTATTCAACCACGCTCATTAAAGCGTGATGCATCGCCACAACCGCGACCTCTTTTAAGGGTGGTCCCACAAGACTTGAGTTTTTTTGTGAAGCACTCTAGACATTTAGCTTTAATCAAAAGAGCTATTGAAAGATTACATAACGCTGTAATGTCCTCAGTCGGGTCTGCGATCGAAAATGTGTGCTGTAAAATTTGATGTGGACGTTAGTGATCGCACTTGAGCCGCAAATATGTAAAAATTGGTGTTTGAGATCGTGCAGAAGGATTTCTATAGCGCCAGGTGATGGTGAATGGACTAGAACACCAGAACTTGCCCAAAAAAAAGAGATATCGTACATCGTCATTGGAACGCGAAGCTGTCTCTAGAAGACCCATTTGGCTAATTGGTCACTAAAGTCACTTTTTGGTGGGAAATTAGTCATATTGAAATTCAACAACACGCGTTTTGAACGAAGTTTTTTTTACGTTAGACCTAAACATGACCTAGCTGAATGAGAATGAATCCAGCCGATTAGCATTTGCCCTTTTTTGTTTAATTATTTGGAGCGTTTTTATTTTTAAATACCTGGGGCATAATTTTTATCTTCGTGATTAGATGGGGCATTTTATCACGTAGATAAAAATTTCTTTATGTAAAAAATAGTGTTTCATCTGCAACCAACTTGCAACATGTGTGCCGGAGGTCGAAAACCGAGTCCGAGGTCGTTGCTAGACGCGCGCAATGAGTGGTGAACAGGTCGTCGTCATACGACGGAGTAGTTTAGTATGGTCAGATAAAGATTCAAGTTATATTGATAGCTTGACTATATTAAACACAGTTCTCTTTTTACCTTACTTGATCGAGTCGTTCAAGTAGCTTAGCTTCCTCTGCACGTACTAGTGTACGTGAAGTTTCGCGGCACCCCAAGCAAAGGGTGCCTTGTTACAGCTGTACTATTGAAGCAACAGCCTTGATTGCGGACTATTGCTTTTATCTCTCGATCATTGTGTCACACTCGCGCTGTAGCATCGTTTTTTGTCTCGCTGAAATTCGTGTGTTCCCGCGCTTCAATAATCCAGACAATCGCATCATACTCCGGCGACAAGCTGCCGAGAGAAATAATCCACTTCTCTTCTTCGAAAACGTCATCAACTACCGAGACAAGACGGGTGCTTGAGTCTTCAAACTTGAGAAAGCGTTCCATGATGTGGTCGCCAGGAGTCATCACATACTCACGTAGCTGTTTGCGAAGCTGTATAGGATTGTGCAGGCTCCGCCTTAACGTGAAAATCAAGCAGGATATTCCAGGCGTGCACAGCACAACACGCATTCCAAATCATTGACTAGATCACCGGACTAAACATATTCGCAATGAGATTCAACGTCCTTAAATCGGCGTTCTTCCACCCTGCAGTCGCCTGCCCCATCATGCCTGACGATTTAATTGCGTAATGGTCAAGCAGCTCTCCTCTCGCGAACTTCATGCGAGCAATAAACTCCCACAAGTTTTGATTCTCGCCCGTGAGGATGTCGTTGTTGTTCTTCATCGAACTTGGGCTTATAACCTGTGACAGATTGCAGAGTATTGGCTAAAGAATTGTTTGCGTGATGGAATAAGTGAAAGTAAATGCAACGCATCAAATTTTGCCGAACCTACTATGTAGCTATCAGTTCCTTATCTTGCTAAGAATCTTCTGACGATTTTTTTTAGAAGAAAAAGAGCTTCATACAGTCTGAATATCCAGCACACAGATAAGCCGTGGCAATTGCAATGATAATAGATGGTGGCACATTATCTGTTACAGATTTAAGTAAACCAGTTCGAACAATAAATCAAGTTGCAAAACACTGTACAACGGCAGGCACTGCAGAATGAGCATAATGCTGCTATTGTCTGTATTAACCTAGCATAGTATGGTAGGCCAACGCGATTGGCCTGTGCATATGAGCGTCTAACATTTGTTTAAGTGATCAAATCCACCCTCGATCGAGTTCAAGCCAATCACGTGCGTGCACCACTATATTGATCCAGCCATAGAGTGTCTCAAATTCGTCTATATACTTACTATGGTGGGACATGCAAGATCGCACTTAGTACGTTTAGGGTAAACCTCACCGCGTTATTAAATAGACACACACAGAAACACTCAGATGCACAGACAAGTGCGATTTAAAAGCTCGGCATTCAACCTTGCGCACACTCGCTATTCGCTCCACCCTTCGGGCTCGCAATAATTGATTCAATCGATTTAAAAGTACGTTAAAAAATGAAACACATGCATGCATCGATTGCTTGAGCGCTAGCCGGCAGGTCACCATAATTTTTTTACCGGAAGTAGCTACAACAAGCCCTTGGGTCACCCGTCCTTATATTCACGGTTCAAATTTCTCCGCACCTTGCTTGAGTGAAACGTCAGACGGACAGGCCGAGTCCTCTCTCTTTCATACGTTCACTTTTCAGTATGTCATTTGTTCGAGTCGAGTCTTTCGCCAACCGTGGCAGATGTTGGCACTATTCTGTCCACTACATATACCTTAAGCACAACATGACCAATTCCGGGAAGCTTTACAAGACAGATAGTATTATCCGTATCGACTACCCTTCACGAAGCCTTCCTGCCTTATTTGCGGCTCATCCAGTATGGCACACATCATCGAGCCTTGTCAGCAATTCAATTTTCATAACTAGACTCAACAGCTTCGATGCTTTTCCTATGCATACATTGCTACGAATGCAGATCAATGCGCGGAGCTGCTTGCAGGAGGTTTCTTAACGATGAATAGCGTAAAGGGATCAGCAGCTGAGCAGTACGCGAACCTCCGTGAACTGTCGTCTTGTCCATCTGCTTTTCCTGGTATCATCAGCACGGATGGAGTCGAAAGGTCGTGGAACTGACGAAGCAATGCCCTCGAGTCTTCCAGCAATGGCAGCACGTGGTTGCGAAACTCTTCAAAACCAGTACTCTATGAGCATAAGAAAGCACGCGGAGTCACAAGCGTCAGTCTGTGGTCACCACCACAGTATCCGCAAACAACAACTACTTTCCAAAAACTCCATCGCAAATGTCCCGACGCCAACAAGTCCTCCACCCGGAACGCAATTGACGCGACCAGTCCATCTCTTTGCACCTATTGATCCCATCCCCACACACATGAGCTGGTATACTACAACCTGTTGTTCGTCAATCTCACGCACCAAAGAAGCTCGTATCAAAGCGCCAGTCACGAATACCATACAACGGCAAAGAGAAGGACTGGTACGCACGATGCTCGCGTGATCGATCCGACACAAACACGAGGCGATACTGTGACACGTAGCACCGTCCTCGGCCGCCGTAGAAACAACCTCCTTGACCTGGATAGCCACTATGCGAACAAATGACCACAAGCTCTCACTGGAATGTTGCAACCACGGGTAGATGTCCGGCATGCAAACGATAAAGTAAACAACAACGATCCACCTACGTGCCACTCTCGACTTTGAGCGTCACGTGCTGAATCTGGAAGAAAAAGTGTTCACTTGGAGACACAAGAGCCGGCGATCCAGCCGCGTCGTCGTGGAGCTCTACGTTCATGCTCATATTCTCGATATTGTCGAATCAAAAATAAAACCTCGAGCTGCTCCTCTGTCTCCGTAGTAAACAATCGGAACATCGACGGGCGAAGATGCCACTGCTGTCGTACGAAGGTGTGGACGTCGAGCTCCCCTCGAACTTGACGGGTATTGAAGTTGAAGTCACGGCTGGGACACTCACGATCCACTGCTGCAACTTCACGGGGGACGTCGTATTGCGACAACGTACGTACCGTACCGTCTGCCCGATTCTGGCACGGTCCAGAGCGTTTCGCATTCGATTTTTGGTTGAAATGTGTACATATGTGACATTTTTTTTCTGACAGGGACCACGGTCTCAAGTCGCGCGTCGCAGCAGACGAGACCTTGTGCTAGTTATAGCAGCAAACGAAGTCACGACACGAGTCGTCAACGTGACGATGGCGGTTTCGAAGCGAACGTCAAGCGGCTACGGCCTCGTTTTCTCAATGAAGCAGAGCAGACGGTGCTGCTTGCCCGATTGAATGGATCGCCGAGCTCTTGCAGCAGACAAGTGATGGACAAGTCGGTGGCAGTAGAGGGGACGACAGGTGGTGGGGTGCAAACGACAAAGAAGACGCTTAATGAAGAGCACGAAGAAGAAGGCGAGCAAAACTGCACTGACGTATGCCGTGGATTCTTCAATGTCGCTTGAGTTGCTGCCGTCAATTGCTGGGAAAACAGCACGTGATTCCAGCATGGACCGGAGTGACGTCCTCGAGTCGGAACCTGAGCCTTCGCCGATTCGATCCTTGAAAGAACGGGGCACACATGTGCCAATGTCAAAGACACCAGCAGGTGTGGTCGTTCGTGGGTTTGGTCAGGGATCGAAGAGGTCGAACTGAGTGTCGTTCCGGTGTATGCTAACCAGCTTGTTGTGAGTGTATGCAGCTGACGGGACAAAGTGGAAGACGATCGAGTCGGTGGGGAATGCCCCGACTGAGCGCTGGGGTCACACTGCAACAAAGATATCGGATGATCGCGTAGTCGTGTACGGCGGAACAGATGACGAGGAGCGCACACTTGGAGACTTGCACGTGTTCGACATGAAAACGCACCGCTGGACGACGCCACTCAACTGTGAAACGATTCCCCGCACATGGCATGACGCAGTCTACCTGCCTTCAAAGAACTTGGTCCTTGTGTTTGGGGGCGAGCGCACTGAAGCTGGTGATGGCAAGCTTGCCGTTCTTTCCGACATTATGGTGCTGGACACTGAGTGCTTCCTGTGGTTCCCACCCGCAGTTCGTGGCACACCTCCATCAGCAAGAAGCGGTCATACCTGCACTGCTATTGGGAACAAGGTTGTGGTGTTTGGTGGTCGAACAGGACGGAATCGGCGAAGCACGGTGCACATGTTGGACACTGGTAAGCAGGGAATAAATAATGGGTAACGTGGTAGAACACGCATGCTGACAGTTTTGCTGGGATTGTGATTGCTGTTGTTGTTGATGTAGACGACTGGAATTGGAAGGCGGTACAAGTCGAAGGAAAAGCTCCTAGTGGCCGCACCTACCACAGTGCTGTCGCTATCGACGACGACAAGATCGTCTACTTTGGAGGCAATGGCTCTTCCAAGAGTTTCAACGAGGTGTACGTGCTACAGAAAACCATGGGGAAAACAGCAAGTGATCCCGTGTGGACGTGGTTCCAACCCTGTGTAGTCGGTGAGCCTCCACAAGAACGCACAGGCCACTCTGCGACGCTTCTGCATGACGGCTGCATTTTCATTTTCGGTGGTTGGGATCCGCAACGAGATGATGCGAATGCACCAACGAGCGTGTTCAATGACTCGTTCGTATTGAACACGAAGTCATGGGAGTGGCGGCCTGCTGCTACCTGCAATTCCGACGACGAAAGCACGGAGGTTATGTCACAAGGGCGTGTTGGACATGGTGCGGTCAGGCACAGCGATGGACGTGTGTACTTTTTTGGCGGTCAAGATAGTGCCGAACACCGACTCAAGGACATTTGCACGGCATCAATTTCCCAAGACACGGACGAGTAGACGAATGATGATGAGGGAGGTCATTCTACTGCAACTTCAGGCACTTTGGAGACTGATGTGTGAAGGGCGTACGTGTTCTCTGACTGATCGGTGAGGGCTATGGACGAATACACGTACGTAAAGACGGTTTTGGATTTACGTTTATGTCTTCGGCCGAAGTTTTCTAGACGGACAATGAATGTGCATGTAGCGGTGCAAGATCACGTTGACAGGAGTGATAAACATCGGTGGAATCACAGCAGCCATTCACTCCATGATGTCGTCGAGCTCGAGTGCTACACTGTCTAGAAAGCTGTTCATATTTTCGTCGTCCATGGAGACACTGGAATCGGTCACCGAGCTTGTTGCCGAGACATCAGATGTGGTGCGGTGGAGAACGAGACCGTCTTGATCTGTCTTCTCTTCCTTCAGCTGAAGAAGCGGCAGGTCATCCGTTTTGATAGCGGCCATGTTTCCAGTCGTAGACTTTTCCAGCGGCATTTCGTTTTCGGATGCGTCTCGAGTTGGAAAGTGAGCAGGGACAGGAAAGAGTGAAGTGATCGTAGCTTCGCCTCCGTCTTGTCCGTTTGGGGAATGATGCAAACTGCGGATGGCACCGGTGCTAGTGTTGGCCGTCGGAAGGGACAACAACGAATCGAGTGGAGGCGGCACGAAAATCGGTGTTGCCGTTGTCGCGTCACGCTTGGTCGTCAAAACGGATATGTCGTGCTCTTGCTGTCCAAAGCTTCGTTCACCTTCTGCATCCAGAGCTGCACTAAAACCAGGGCGTGTTCGTTCATGGTGACCGGGCAGTAGTGCGCCTGTACATGGAGCTCCTGCAGGCAAAACATGCTGGATGAAGTGTTGATACTCAAGTGGCGAGGTCGACTTGTGCGAGTGGTGTTCCAGGAACGCCTCAGCTGGAGGAAGTGGCGAGACCTTCTCGCCTCCGTACAGCACATTGGTAGTAATGTACGGGTTGCCCTCCTCCTGCATCAAGGATGACTGCACCATTGGCTGTTGCTCTGGTTGTTGCGATTGAAGCTGAAATGGTAAACTTGACGTCGGCAAAGTTAGCTGCGTTTGCTCAACCCCAGTCGACGACGACTTGTGTGTCGCGTGGTTCATTAGCCATTTACGACGCGCTGCCGAGTTGAAACGGTTCTTCACCGCATTCTCCGTGCGTCCAGGAAGTAGCTTGGCAATCTCGCTCCATTTGTTGCCAAGCTTCTGCTGGCAGCGGAAAACCATGTCATCCTCCTCGGAAGTCCATTGACCCTTTCGGATTCGAGAGTCGAGGTGGTTGCACCATCGCTCGCGGCACTGCTTACCGATACGTCCGGGTAAGTGCAGAGCAAGGTCGCACCAGCGAATTTTACCGACACCGTAGCGAGTGATGAGGCCCGCTAGAACGCCGTCTTCCTCTGGGGTCCATGGTCCTTTGATCAAACCGGGCTTCAGCACCTTGTTCCAGCGGTGAAGACACTGGACGTCCGTACGCCCATTCCCTAACGTCTCGGCAATCATCTTCCAGTTCTTACCACCAAAACGGGCCACGGCTACGCGGAGACGCTCGTCTTCATCACAAAGCCATTTTGTCGGCGGCTGAACGTCCCTGCTTCCCTTACTCGGGAACGCGTTGCTTCGAAGGAAGTTAGAACTGCAGCTTGGTCCGAACGAACCGTGTGAAGATATAGCAGACGGGTGATGGGACAATTCCACGAGTTCCGGACGCCGTGGCGAGTGTTGCTGGTGGTGGATGTCTTGATGCATCACCCCGCGGAGATCAGCTTCCAGCCCGTTGCAAGACATCTTGAGCTCTGCATCAGCAGTAACTGCACTCACGCCGTGATGACTGGATGGACTGCAGATCTTGTCGCTGTTACTGCTGCTATCATCACTGAGACTCTCGTCCAAGTCTTCGTTGCTTGACACCGATGCACCATGCAACTTGAACCCACTGGGACCAAATGCCTGGACGAGGAATTCTTCTCGTGGGGAGCACTCGTAAGCTGACGAGTTAAGCGATGGCTGAAAGAACATGGTACGGTCCAGACGTTGTACCGCAAAAACATCATGATCGAGCTTAGGTGTGGGCTCAAACACGTCCTGACGTTCCTGTGGTGCCAAGTTGGGCACGATATTGTGGCCGTTACCGTCGTGCTCGTTGACTCCACCGTACTTGGCACTAGTAACACCTGATTCGTTCCTGAGCGTGTCGCTGTGATCTTCTTCGTGATTGATGTCGCGGCTATCAGAATAATCATCATGACCAAGATCGACCACCTGAACGTGGCCAGAAGATGACTGTGCATGCTCGGCCTCGAACGGAGAAGACGGGATCAATTGATAACCTTCGCTGGTAGGTGAGTCTGTGAAGCGGTTCACGAAAGATGCAGCAAAAGTGAGCAAAGGCGATCCTCGTTCCGTTGCAAGCAAATAAGGATCAACACACGTACTTTCAGCAAAGGGCGGGAGCTCAGGACGGTGCAATGACTCTGGATAGGATGTCAGAGGTGGTGGACCATCGTGTCGAGACGGTGACATTGGCTTTGCAAAAGGGGTCGCACCAAAGCCGTCGTCACTAGTGAGACTTTGATGGCGTTTACGATTTGGAACATGATGCACATTGTCCGAAGTATGGAGCAGTTCATCGAGAGTGTCGAGACCCGCACATGACGAGCTTCTCTTAGGAGACGGTCTGGACAAAAGAAGACAAATTCATACTTTGTCAGTGGATGTCAAGTGATAAGAGGATGGCGACAGACTGAACAAACCTGCTGAGTGTGGAGCGCGGATGCATCTTGACAAGGATTCCAACGAATGGTGAAAGTTGCAAAGTAAACGTGTCCAGGACGTGCAAAATGTGAAAGCGACTTGCAGGACTCACCAAGACGAAGAATGCCGATAACCATGTCCGTCATTGGCACCTGTTTGCACTTCGCACTTTTTTACTCGAGCGATGGGTATTTCTCGTACGCTTGTTATCTGCGAAGGCGCTTCGATGGCAGTTACGATGGTTTTCCATCATCGCACGAATTGAAAAAACAGCAAGAAATTACCAGCCAGTATGTAAAAATAGCACGGAACAGCGGGTGAACGAACAGCTCTTATCTACATGCGTCGATTTTTTGCAGAAGAGTTTGGCGTGATCGACAAGAACCTGACAGGCACGTAACATTTGATGCGGTTGTAGGATGTGCAGATCCGATCGTCTGAGAAATCATAGCACAAGATGATACATGTCATGTCTTACACATGTATGGTCAAGACTTCACAACTAATCCTTTGTGTCGACTATTTGCTTCGGCAACACGTGCGATTGTTCTGACCCGCATTTGTCGAATTCGAGCGTCTACAAAACAGTGGCGCATTCACGGCTCTCGAGATGAAAGAACACACACCCGTGTCGTTCAATTTGCTACTGTGATATATTGTTCACGCTGCTCTTCCTGTTGTCCCAACATCGTGCGTGCAAAAACGCTTCAGCTGCTTGAACCACGTTTTCCTTGACAAAAGCGGGCACCGAATGAATCGTGCTGCGCAATCGCGTGACTCTCTGCGTGTCTTAGACAGACACACTTCCTTCATCTTCTTACTCGCTGGGAATACCAACAGAGCGCAGCTTCTCTTCCAGTGTGCGAAACTCTTCGTCATTCACTGAATTGAGCTCTTCGTCAACCCACTCTTCGATACCACGCACTTCGGGAATATAGTGCTTCAGCATGTTTTCCACGCCATGCTTGAGCGTGACCGACGAGCTTGGGCAGCCTGCGCACGAGCCTGCCAGCTGGACCTTCACCATGCCCGTATGTTCGTCGAAACCCTTGTAGAAGATGTCACCACCGTCATCCTGCACAGAAGGCCGAATGCGCTGCTCCAACAGCTCCTTGATCATAGCGACCACTTCGTCGTCTTCAGGTAAAATTGTCGTGTCCTGCAGCACAGACACACACCAGAACAACGCAAGACAAAGTAGGGATCCGGCCATCAGCTCTTCGACTCCAAAGACCCAGACCACACTTTCGCCTTGATTCGCTTCTCACCGTAACCATGGGCTCGTCAGACATGACATCCTCGCCGGACGCGAAAAAGTCCATAATCGTTGCAAAAATGTCCGCATTCAGAGCCTAGATCAAAACAAGCACCAACACATCCCCTCTGTCAGACTTCATTCATCAAACCTCTAGCTGCCTAAACCAGTCGATCGATCACGTACGTCCCAATCCTCATCTTCTGTCTTGGTAATGGAGATAAAATCCTTGCCAAAAAACACGCGCGTGACCCCTTCAATCTGGAACAGTTTCTTGGCCAACGGCGAGCGACGGACCTCATCCGACCGTGGCGTAAAGTCCTAACAAGCCACCATGAATCACATAAACAGGTAAGAAAAAAACTCTACATCTCCCTCGCTTTAGTGACACACCGCCAACTTGCTCATCATTCAGCACGTACCACTCCCGTCGAGAACCGGTCGTCCAGTACCACGCGTCCAGGCCGAAACTTGACACTCTGTGGGTTCGGCGTCGACTCTGTCTGGATGAACATAGAGCGCAGTGCGCCACTACGCAACAGAAACGGACTGACGCGGGACTTTGTAGAGACGGCAGCGCATCTTGATAGAGCACTCGTGTGCAGTAAACGAGGGACAGACGTCGAGGGCAACGCGACGCGGCGACGCGCCAAGAGGCGCAGGAGGTGGCGACTGCGTCGGAACATGCGAAGAGCTCTTTTGTGGCTGCGATGTCGGATGCGTGTTTTTGGCCAATCAACGAGCCGTCAGCGACTACAGGCAGGTTGGGGGGGTTGTTTGTGTTCGTGTATGTGTGGGCGTTCTGTTTTGACCAATGAATGAGGGGGTGTTGGCGAGTTTGGAAAAAAAGGGCGTGGAATCTTCTTGTAAATGGGTTGCCGATTTGGGTACCATTTTGAGAAAGATTAAAGTCGACATCGGATAAAGTGTTTATTCGTGGCGTCGAAAGAAGTTTTGCATGATGGCGATGGAGTTTAGGATGCTGAATAGCAGCAGCCACAAAGAATGTGGAAAGACATGTTCCGAGAGGCGACAACTTCAATCCGTCGAGCACTTAAGTAGTGCTTCTAGGACCACCTTTTGTCGCACTTGTCAACAGGAAAACGAGAGTTCCTCGGTGATCGCAAAGGATCGACAAACTTGGTCATAGCGGTGATTGTAAGTGCAAAGGTTTCTCTGTGGTCAGAATTGCATCACCAAAGGTTATTGCACAACAAAAGCGGGCCAGAACGCTGCAGAGTCTGTGCTGTGTAAAGAATCCTATCTGCAAAAGCTTCAAAAGCTTCTTCTATAGAGCACGTACAAGTGTCGGTCTCAGCAACAAGTAAAATAAGCGGTAAGAAGGTGCTTGTGCAAGTTGAGCCCCGTGCATGTGCCCTCGTCATGTGAGTATCTCTCATGTTTCTGCTGGTAGTCAGTGGCTAGTCTTCTTTGTCAAGCCTGTAGAATTAGGAGTCAATCGTCATCGACTATGTGCTGTCCAGTTGGTGCTTTGCAAGACTCTGCTTGACATATTTGAACGCAGGAGAGAATTCGGCCAGCACGATCTTTAGTACTCCCTCTTTATGGGTATATTGGTACTATACGAACGCTGCTGCAGCTGTGATGATGTCAACGATGTACGACATGGTCGCGATCAAGTGACGCGGTCGTTACAAAAAGGATTTCCCGCAAGCCTCGCCTTATTCCGTTTGCATTCGTAGCACACTCGCAAGTTTCAGGCGGAATGTGTGCAACTTTCGGTTACGGGGACCGCCTCTCGACTTTTTGCAGACTCTGCAACCCGTATCGCTTTTGACTCTTGCCGACTTGACTCAAGCGAGATGATGTCCTAATTTAAGGTTCGGACACATCGGTGCACACACCATTTCTATCACAAATCAGAGAGAGAGAGAGATCGCTCCCTCTTTGACGATCGATCCCAGGACAGCGACCTAGCGACGGACCCACTACCCATGGACGACACAGCCCAGCGCAGTCTACTTCTATGGGTACGTCCATCCCACTTCTAGTCTTTAAACAACTGCTGTATGCCTTTACTTGCCACGATCTCTCCCTCCCTCCGCATCGACCACCTCTTACGAATCGAGTCAAATATATCACTATATAGAAACTAGATAATATCACAAAAGAGAGATAATGTCAAAGAGGGTATCACTGAGAGAGAGAAAAAGCCTCCCTGACTTTCGTGTCGAAAACATGCTGATGCTGGTCCATGCAGGTGCAGAGTTTTCACGAGAAGCTGGCGACGGACGCGCAGATCTCGAGCCTCGGAGATCTTTGTGACGGCGTCTTCTTGTCAAAGATCATGCACCACATGTACCCGATGTGTTTCTGCTTTTTTCTGCTCTAGCTCTTCCCTCTCATTATGCATACTGTTAACTAGAGTAATTCGATCTGATTCTCTTCTGATAATCTTGTTTTTGTGTGTGTGATCGCAGTGACTCGGAGTACATGAACTTGGAGCAGATCAATGAACAGGCTGGGGGCAACTGGGCACTCAAGTTGAACAACCTCCAGACAGTGCTACGTGCTGTCGAGCTATTTTACACTGACGAGCTGGGTCAGGTCTGCCATGCAGACGAACTAGTGGACCCGCTCGTGATTGCGAAAGAAACCAATGTGCACGAGGTGTGCAAGCTCACGGAGCTGTTACTGGGGTGCGCCGTCCAGTGTCCGAACAAGTCGGAGTATATCCACCCGATTATGCAGATGGCCGCATCCGAACAGGCCAGCTTGATGCATGCGATCGAGAAGCTCATGCACCGTTTTCAGCCCACGTCTCCTGGTGTAGCATCGAATCCAGGCCGTCGCGACTCAGTGGGTCACAGGGCATCTTTTGACGAGAGAACGCCTCCGTCGTCGTCTACATTGGTCTCTGCGTCGATTGCAGGAAGCTCTGCTGAAGAATTGGCTGCACAACTTGCTCAGGCGCTCGAGCGGAGCTCTTCAATGGAGCTCCGATATCTGGACATGGAACGCGAAAAGCGTGAGTTGACGGAGCGTTTCGAACGTACGTTGACGGAGCATCGAGAGCTCGTTGGCAAATACACGGTTCTCGAAAGTGAACGCGACCAGTTGCGCGGCGAACGCCAGAATACGCTTACTCGTGACAACAAGAAGATTCAACAAATTGTGGACAATGAAGTCCACGCGCTCCAGATGCAGCTAGAGGAAAAAGATCTGGAGCTGAATCGTGTGAAGCGTGAGTTCGGGGAACGCCTGATGATGCTGGAGAATGAAGTGCGTCGTCAAGCTGACGAGCTCGATATTTCACGCTCTAAACTCGGCACGCTGAACAAACTTGAAGCTACCATGATCAAGTACAAAAAGAAGCTGGAGGAAATGAATTCGCTGCGTGGTCAGGTGCGCGAATTGGAGACTTTTAACGCGCAGTATTTGGATAAGGTGGTGGATCTGGAAAGCACTATTAAGACCATGCCTGGACTAAAAAACCTTGTCGAAAAGTACAAGAATCAGGTTGTGGAACTCGAGACGGCCAACGTCCAAGCCAGTTCTAATCTGAATGTCAAGGAACAGAAGATCAAGAGGTTGCAGGAAGAGCTTGACAGTGCGCTGGGTGGCAAGGAGTTTCTCGAATCTCAAATGGAAGAGCTGCGAACACAACTTGCTAGCATCCAGTACCGGGAAGGCAACGACGATTCAATGTCTGCAGGCGAGAGTAGTGCAACGAACGGTGGGGGTCTAAGTGCTGACATGCTGCTCGGCCGAGACTCTGTCATTGGCATGAGGGAGCGAGTGGCTCGACTAGAGCGCGAAAACACCGAGCTGAAGAGTGGCAATGTTGACGCAGGCCAGGCAGAGTTGGCTAACGAGTTGGACATGGCAATGAAAACAAAAGAGTCGCTTCAAGTGTCTCTGTTTCAGATGCAGAAACAAAATGACCAGCTGTCGGAAGACCTACGCAACGCTCGGATCCAAAACGAGCAACTACAGCAAATGCTGGCGCTGATTCAACAGGGTCAACCTCAAGCTCAACCCCAACAGCAGCAGCAACAGTGGCAGAGGGCGCCAGATGGACCGGAGCCAATGCAGGTCTCGAACGATATGGCTGCCGGTGAGAGTCTCGCAGTGACAGGAACTGTTGGCTTTGCGTCGGCTGCCGCTCTCGAAGCTGGCATTGCAGGGGGATCAGGTGTACCTCTGCAAGCACCTGTCCCCGTCGCTGGCTCAGTCGTGGTGACCAGTAGCAACAATGCACTTTCATCAGCCCAAATTGCCGAATACCAGGATAAGCTGGGGAAATTGGTACGTCAGCAGATCATAAAGTATGGTCCATCGATTTGCTGTACTGATGTGTTTGTCTGCTTTCGAAATACGTACTGTGCAACAGGAAATCGAGGCAGAAGCGGTTGATTCGCTCCGTGCAACTGTGACTGAGTTGACGAAACGTCTGAAAGAGAAGGAATCTACGATCAACGAGCTTTCCGAGCAGCGCGCCAAGCTGGAAAACTACACCAAGAAAACACTTCATGCTGTCCAGACAAAGTATATGGTAGCAGTAAGCTCACACCGCAACCAGGTTAACGAGAAGCAGGAACGTGTGGATTTCCTGGAAAAAAAGATGAAGGAAGTCCGTGCGTCGTACTCGCGCGAGCAAGCACTCATGATGTCGTCGTTCTACGAGGTAACGTCTGGTCATTGCCCTGTGACTACGTTGCTGTCTCACCAGTGTTTTCGTACTATTACGCACAGATTGGAACTGAGATGCAGCGACGTACGATGATGCCCCAGGGCCCGGCTCCTGGTGCTCCAGGTCCCGGGTCGTGGCTTGCTAACAAGAGGACAGAAGAACGTGCAAAAAGGCGACAAGGAGCATGAGTGTAGTACAGTCTACTTCAGTGCTGTGATTTAAGACGCTTTGGCATGTACGAGAACAAGGAGAGTTGTGCAAGATGAAGATATACTGAATTGAGAATAAAGACGGCGATTGTGTCATCTTCGGTGCAACATCTTGTTGCACTGGCATCGAGTACTTCTCAGCCAGTGTCTAGTCGACAACGTTGACGCCCAGATTCACGAGTGCCCGCGTAGCTTGCTGGCATATCCGGTCGTTAGTGGAGCGCACAAGTGACTGCAGAGCCTTCACACCACCCAAGTCCACAATCGCTTGCTTGTTCTCCGCTGAAAGCCATCACCAGACCATCCACATCCATGTTCGTCAGTCAGTAATGCAATACACAGCAACACAACCAAACAAAAGCAAGGGATCCACGTACGGTTGACTGAAAGGTTGCGTAGTGCACGTGCCACTTGGGATTGGAGCTCCATCGACTCTGAGTGTGCTCCATCAATGATAGACTTCAAGCCGCCTTTACGTGCGATCTCGACCTCATTGGCATCTGGCACTCATGCAGCAAACAACAGGTCAGACGTAGCATCGAAAACCAAGGAACCACTTGTGCTACAACGTACCATTGACAGCCAAATTTGCAAGTGCCGCAACAGCCTCAACTGCGACGCCTATTTGCCGCGAGCTTGCCAAGTCAATGAGCGGTTTGATGCCGCCTGCCTTTGCGATTCGCTCCTTGTTATCCACTTGCACCATCGCCACCACCGGCACAGCAATAACAACAGCCACACGTCACCACTACCCAAGACGACCACCAAGTACATGAGCAATAGAGATGCAAGGTCGCACCATTTACGCCTAGGTTAGCCAGTGCCTTGGCCGCTTGGCGCTGAACGTGCTCGTTCGAGCTGCTCAAGAGATCAATGAGCATCCCAATGCCTCCTTCAGTCGCCATTTTCGACTGATTCTCCGCTACACCCGGCAGCAGAAAAGCAGCAGCAGCAACAACGTGTCAGCAGCTCAATCTGTGGCGACAAGCAAAAACGATTGAATCGGGACACAAAGATGTCGTACAATTGACCGAGAGGTTGGCAAGAGCGTGCGCTGCAAGTCGTTGCACCTCCGTGTCCGTCGACTTGGTCAGTGGCAGCAGCAGCTGCAGTCCGTTTAGTTCCACAATCTGCACCTGCCGATCAGCTGCACACGAAATCCAATGGAGAGAAGCAGAAAGAGAGTTGTCGTCCAGGTTGAGTGGCCAGACATCGCAACGAAATGACCGCTACGACGGCGGTAGAAAAGAGGGACTTGGACGCACGTTTCACCGCCTCATTGGCCAATTTCTCGGCCACTTCTCGCTGGAGCGAAGTGTCGGCTGAGTGCGCGTAGGCGACCAGTTGGTGCAAATGCGCGTCCAGGGCTTCCGTCAACACTTCATCTGGAGCAAAAGAGCGCAAACAACTTATTGAACAGGTACAGAAAGCGAGTGATCAGAGGACGACGGCAAGTCACTCACCGTCTGCATCAGTGAAGGTGGACGCGGAGGTAGTGGGGTGTGTGTTCCCCATTGCAGACAGGTGGGTGTGCAGGAACGGGAAGAGGCGTCCCGCTGGATCGGCGGATCGGTTCAGGCTGACTCGGCTGAAAGCGTACTGAATTGTGTTAATTGATATGATTAAGGTAGCTGTATCATATCGATTAACACGATTCAGTACGCATCATGCAGCCGATTGCCGTGTGGGTATTATTAAGTACTAGAGGTAATAAAGAGCAAGGATAGGGACTTGTACAAGGCGACTGCCAGCTTCATTTATGCTTGTCGATGGTGTTTGGTCTTGATTACGGTGCTGTTTTCCTCACTGAAGTGGTGCTGCTTCATGATTATCCTCTTTCACTACCGCTCGCGGGTCAAAGCTACTTACTCAGTATGCAATGCAGCACGGATACCGTCTTTGTTGTTCGTGACGGGTGTTGAAAATATATATTATCAATACAACTACAGAACGAGGTTGCGTGTTGTGTAATGAGCTGGCCACGTCCATTCTGCAAGCTGGCATGGCCTGCGCACAAAAGCAGCACCACAGCCCCATCTGCAGTCGTCCGAAACACACGTGCGTCTCTCTACTTGGAGTACACAGGCACATACTCCACGACGCCCTGTTTGTTCACAATCGTCTTTTTGATGTTGCGTAGCTGTTTCTTGCTCATGGTCTTGAGTCGGTGCGTACGTGACAGCTGGAAGAAAAGACACAGTAGCAAAAACACAACAACAAAACAGTCAACAACAACAGGAACGATGAGCACCGATGACGTCCCGCCAGTCGATCAAGTTCGACCCCATCAGCTGTTGCAATGTCCATGCACCACGCACCACTTGAACAGACGCCGACTTGAGCTCGTTCTCCTTCCGTCGCTTCTCCTTTTCCTCACGCGCTTGGCGCTTTGCATCCCGTTCCGCCTGTCGTCGGGTCTTTATGTCCGTCTGCAGCTCCTTCAGGTCTTTGAGCTTCGCGCGCTTCAGGAGCTTCTCGTCCCACGTCGAGCTCAGCACTTTGGCGCTTCTCACACCTTGCGACGAGAAGCGCGTTTTCTGCACTTTCTTCCACACGCGACCGCTGACAGGTCGACCACGAGGCGGCGGCGGTGGCCTTGAGGTCTTGACCGCGGTCATCGGCTTGCTAGCAGTCGTCACTGTCATGACACAACACAATAATGGGTGGTGCAGGCTTCGGAAAACATTGCGACAACATCATGAATGGTCGTGCAGAGGTGACGCGAAGGTCGCTCGAGGATTTGCGACTTTTGACGAATCAAGCGACAGTCAGTCAGTCAGTCACCAAATGGTCGCGCCGCCTGGATGTTGCGAGATCTGCCAGATTGCCGAGGTGGTGGCTGACCCACAGCTTCAGAATCGGTCTGTGCGGATCACAGGGAGGTTACAAACGTACGACGCGCAACGACAGCTTGCGATCGTGTCGTTCCAGAACGTTTCCATGACTGTGGAGACCCAGAGCCTGGCGCTCGAGCACTTGCGTCTGCAAGTCGGGTCCATGTACCAGTTCCTGGGCGAGACGTACGCGAAGGTATCGAGTGTGTGTGTGCGCGGAAAGCATGAGGCGACTGATACGTTCGCATTAAATGGGTAGCCAAAGGTTCGTTGTTTTGACACGTCCGACATGATGCTGTGGTACAAAACGGACAGACCGAGCCGGCGGAAGTGCGACTGGTGGCCCGAGTCGCGCGGAACGTGGACAGCTTGGACATTGACTTGTTCCTTGCAGCGCTGGCCATGCGGCGACAGTTTCTGGCTGCCCGTGGTTGATGCAAGATGAGGGTGGCGAGATGCGGCATGTCGCAACCTGCTGTGTTGGTGGTGTGGCTGGTGTTGCTACGATCCAACAGCGGTTGCATCGCGTCGACATGAGGTGCAGTAAAAGTACAAGCGCGGCTCAATGCTACAGCAAGTCGTCGTCCGAGTCGTGCCCGTCTGCTTCAACTGTGTCGTCATCGAAGGTTTCGTAGATCGTTCGACGAAGCGTCGCGGCACGTTCGTCTCCTGTTCTTGTCGTCTTCTTCGCGTCTGACACACTCGATGTTGTGGTCGAGGCACATGTAGTAGCCATTGCTGCTGCATGTTCCAACGAGGGGACGATCCCTTCTGCACTCCCCTTCTCCTCCGATGCGGTCCTCGAGCTTCTTGCAGCACTAGCGGCCAGCGTCACTTCTGCTAGCTCGGGCGGGTCGTACTTGTGCAGCGCTTGCCGCCACTTGCGCACGAAGCCGTCGAACACCTTCTTGCCCACGCACAAGGTCTTGTCTGGAGTCATTGGATGCTTCCCTCGACGACGCTCGCGCCTCGGCACTTGAGCACAGTAACGGTCATAGCCGATCGTGTTCTTGCCGTAGTCAATCTGCTTTTGACGCTGCGCTAGTCGATGGGGGTCCGTCTCCTTTTCGTCTGCCAACGTCTTCACAGTTATGCCCTCGTTCCGATTGCGGCTGCGTCGTTCGTCGGCAGACCGTACGCGCTTACGACCGGATCGGCCGCTACTGCAGTCACCGTCGTTCGAGTCTCTGCTGTCCATGGCCTCAGCGCTACGCTTCATTGTGGCGAGCGGGTACGATGGAAATCAAGTGTGGCGGGCAGCGATCCGGCCATGGTCCACAAATTGCATACAATTTGTAGGCTATTTTGAATCGTCTCGGACTCGAACAAATGTATGGTAGTCCTACACTTGTACAGAGTCGGCTACTGTGACTTTCGCGACGATTTCCTCCACTGCGATGCACTCTCTACTCTTTGGGCACACGATACAACACGAAAGCGGTACTTCACGTGCGTTGACGCCGGGTCGAGAGTGGCGGGACAATTGCGGCAGGAGTCGAGTACATCAAGCTTCGTTATTGTATCTGCGTACTACCTCACGAACTCAATCATTAGTATTCACATGTGCTGTGGTAGAATGTGCAGATCATATCCACGCAGTTCGTAATTTGCTTGTATAGGTAACTTTTCTACTGCTTCTAAGGAGATGCGAGTCTCGAATGCTTGCAAGGGGGCCGTCGAGCTGGAACAATTGTCTCGATTTAACTGATTCTCCTGTGATGGATTGCCGATGGCATGTTGACAGCACGAGTAGCTCTGATCATTCGCCGCATTTGGCGATTTTACCTTTGTCACTGTTTTACGAATGGCGATGTAGCCTGCTTCCTGTCGTTCGAGATGTACATGTACTCGCCCATGCATAGTTGGATTTCGACTCCAACGTCGTAGCTGTCAAAGACCATTGTGTAAGCCACTACGGGGCCCCTAGCTGTCGAGACTAAGCGTAAATATCTTTGTACGTATATGCACACTTCGCATAATACCGAGCACAACGTTAGGGCACAGCTCTTTCGCGATCTCGTTTCGACAAAATGATGCTCAACATCTATGGTCGCGCATCTCGTGGTAGCACAGAAAAGGTTGCGATGATACACTTGACCGTCACGTACAGCACGAACGGCGTAAATGTAGAGAGAGCTTCCATACATAAGCAAAGTAAGGAACTCTTCAGTTTGTGTATGGAATTTACTATGTGCACCAGGACGTGCTTGTAGTCGAATATGGAGCACGAGACGATGTAAAACACGGACACGAATGTCCGGACTCTCGTTTCTGGGTGAAGGCTGGCCCTACGTTCGCCGTTACTGATTTCAACGATTTCGTGCTTGCAGTTGAAGCTTGAATTGACGAAGTGCGGGAAGCCGTTCTCCACTTGTTTACTTTCGAGAACATGAGAAGGCTGTCGAGATGTGGCAGTGCATCACGACTGGATACATCACCAGCTGCAACGCGTGTCAATCCGATGCCTGGCGAACCCGTGGCAGACGGGAATGCGTTATCCGAATAAGAAGAAGCAGACATTTGACTTGCTCGGACTGCAGTTCAGAGAAGCGAGATGGATACGCTGAGTGGTGGATTTTCGGCGCTCTCGCGTGCACATCTCGAGGCAGATTCCTAAGGTTTGGGTACACAAAAGGGTTCATGCTGGTCACGCGACCCACGAATTTGGGCAGTCCATCCGCTCGAATTCGCTGCGCGAGGGTCGGACAGCAAATGTCGCAGTGGATAGCCACAAACGCAACAACTGGACGAGGTTTAAGCGGCATCTATTCGATCGCTTGTGTTTTCGGTGCTTGACCGGCTGGTCATCACGCCATTTGATTGGTCGAATCGCATCGCTTTCGCCGCTTCCGATTGGCTCCACGACGCCTCTTTCGCGTCCATACAGACACAGCATCGAAGCCGTTACATCCACCAAGTCTCCAGCGCCCAGACGGTGTATCGCACAGCCAGCTAAGGGGCACAGACAGACGGGGCAGCTAGACACAGACACAGAGAGAGAGAGAGAGATACACTGGCAGATAGACAGAGGCGAGGGCCAACAGGCATGCTGCGCTACTAGACCAGCGTCTTCGTTGTCTCGTCTCTAGCTGGTGGCGATCCTGGGACTGTACGGTTGAGTGGGTAGCAGACGGCGAGCGATGACTGGAGCAAGCGGCGCGAATCGCACGTTTCGCTCACTCTTTGGGGGACAAGAGAAGTCCTTTGATGAGGTGCTGGACCTAGAGACGGACGTCATCGGGTCGATTGAGGCGGCCGCGAGTGTTTCTGGAGCTGCTATTGGGGTGGCTGGTGATGAAGATCAAGACGAAGAGGAGGATGGGGAGGACGCGATGGTGTGGAAGGAGGAGCTGCTGCTGCTGGATTGTGGTGTCGCTGCAAAGGCGGACGGTCTTCAATTGGCAGTACGTTTATGCTGTACTAGAAGCTACGGCTGTCAGTTCTTTATGGTGTTGACATGTGGGCGTGGTGTTTGTCATGTGTCTGTAGCAGCACAGATCGATGGAAGAGTGGGCAGATGACGATGACGAAGAGGACAATTGGAAAGATATGCTGCAAGACCGCGTGGATCAGCTGGATCTGGCGTTCCTGCCTGATAATGATGGTGATGATGATGATGCTATAGTTTTTGAAACTAGATGCCGGTTGGAACACCAGTCGGTATGTAACCTTTCAGCACATGAGGTCCATGCCTGGAACATTGAACGCACAGTTGTGGGAGAAGCTGCAGCGTCTACGCTCGTGCATGATGCACGCATGCGGTCAATTTCCATTGATTGTGTAGCTCGCAAAATTCAGACCGTGGAGTATTACCGCAAACGCTCGAGGTCTCTGAGTGACACGACTGATATGCTGGAATTGCCTTATTATTCGCCTTCACGAAAAAACTCGTTGGACAGCGATCGAAGCTGCCTCAGCCGGGACATCAGTAGGGATATACGTGGCATTGGGGAACCTTTGGCGACCGATGCTACACTCTCGGTCTCATCGAGCACCGCCGCGTCGGTTTTGAGCGACACAGAAGCCATGCGCCGATTTGTACTTGACGATGTCAAATCTGTACGTCGCCTCTGCTTGCTTTGGTGCGTTCTTGTTATGTGCTCTAACTGTTGTAATGCAGATGTCCATGGAAAGACTCGTGAGCGATGCCCAGCGATTACATTTTCTAGAGGACTTTTACCACAATCAGCAAAGACAAGATGCCGTCTCGCCCGTCATACTCCCGACTGCAGCGTCTTCATCACCATCGGTCCCTTCATCTCCAGCCATGTCCACACCCTGATCGTGCACTGCTCTATGATATTGGTCTACTTAATTGGCTGTTGCGTGCTCTATTTAACATCATTCCAAAGAACATACTTCGCTTGTCGGAACGAAGGCCATCACAGTATTTTTGCTGCTCATGTTGTCGCCATGTCACCATTTCCATGAAAGCATGACTCCACCCACCTCAGCAACCTGCTTATTCGATAGTAGGACGGTCCGACAGCAGCAAGTCACACTTGTGTTCTACTATCACGTGATTGCTGTCCCACCAAGAGACGTGTCGTAAGCTTACGACGTGGTACTCAACCTGAAAGGTGCCATTACATTTATGCAAACGTTTCCCTGTTATCAGTAAAAGCTACTTCAAGTTTCGGTACTCCGACCTGCAGGTGCATTCGTAGTGTCACGCACGCATAGTATGGTAGTACTTCTCGCACAGTCAGTCAATCTAGGATGGATGGTCATTCAAATAAATTTACTGCCTGGCGAAGTTCTAGTCCTCTGTCCATTCCGTGCTGTCTCTACGAAAGGATGTGTGCTGCAACACCTCAAGCGTGAGCTCATATGTCGCAAACGTCGCACTGGCGGAGACAACGGACTTAAGCAGGCTCGGCACTGTGCCCTTGTACAGACCACGAACACCTTCCCGCTGTAACACGTCTACGAAGCATCTCCAGCTGGAAGAATACATTGGAATAACTCCGTACGCTTCGGAGCGCGGCACGTGACGCATCTGCATCCGTTTCTTGACTGTATCCAGAGGATACACTGCCAGCTTCGACAACAGTCCAGCCACAGCACCGCTTCCAACGTACGATAGGGCTCTTGACAATGATGTCCATGTATTTATAGCACCACTCTCTTTCTTGCTGCGATGTTTTGATGCCACTTCGTTCAGCGTTGAGTAGATACTGAAACTCAGCCCCATGTATGGTGCAATTTGAAACGTCGTCGCACCCAGCCCACTGTAAAACCCACGAACACCTTGTGAAGTCCAAATGTGCATTGCCAAGCTGCGCATCGTCGGGAACCGTTTGGGCATCCCCTGGCTGGCAAACGCCGTGCGGAAGAGGTCAAGAGGATACGTAGCAACAGCTGCAGTGACACCAGCGATAGCTCCATTCAAAGCACTGACTCGAAACGGTGGAGTAGCTGCAGCTGTACTATCTTGATCTTGCTCCCAGCAGCGTGTAAGTGTGCGATACGTAGCAAACTGCAGTGCTGAGTAGCCCACCCAGAGCGCCGAAGCCGCTAAATTTCCACGCCAGAAAGTGCGTACACCCTCTTCAGCGTAGATGCTACGTACAGCTTGCAATAGTCCATCGTACTGAAGCTTGACTGGTTTGTTAGTAAAACGGGGTGTAGGTTGTACTTGGAAGCGGATCTTCAAGAGGTCAAAAGGTGCGGCCACGAGTCGAGTTACACCTGAAAAAACGAATGAACGAGCATAAAAAGTATCCAACAGCATAAGTCAGGAGACCGGATACGACCATCAAAAGAGAACGGAGCGAGAGGTGGATGTACCTCCGGATACAGCACCAGCAAGAGCGGCCTCCGTAGCGGTCGTAGCGCTTCGCTTTTTGTCGTGAGGTAGCCCACCGCCATCCCTTGTCATGATTATCTTGCGGTAAAAGAGCTACTGACTATTTGGATGGTGTTACACCCTTCGGAATCGAATATATCGGAGATTCGTGGCTGTTAAAGCAGTGGAATCGGTTTGTCCGGCACGTTTGATATCTATCACAAACGAGAGAGTCGTAACCGATTTAATGCAGGATATGCAGGATACATATGCTGAGTCGTTTGTAACCGCGTGGTTACGTTCTGCGGACGCGATTCCAATTCGAGCAATGTCGCAGCATAACAGTGAGGGACGAGCTTCATTTCGAATCTACAAGTGCACAAGTAGTTTCTTTCGAGACCAGTTGGGACAACTAAAGCATTCCCGTCGTTGCATTTCGAGCAACGGCTTCCAACCTCGACACAATAAAAACTCAATCGCCAACTTCCGATATCCGTTGCCTTCAATTCCTACGAGTTCGCCAACACTCATTGCGAGTAAGCCCTAATGGAGTCATTTGCATTTTGTAAGGCATTTCGCACCACTATAATGGCGTCGGATGCCACTCATTCAGACGATCAAATCTCAACTGGCATAATTGATACGAGTGCACTCTATTACCTGCTCGCACCGTGTCACGCACGCTCTCTCAAAACGAATACCGACACACTCGAACACAGCAAAAATATCGCACCAATCACATCGTCCACTCATCCTTTCTACCAATCGCAGCTCGCCATTCCAGCAGTTCCGACCGCCACCCAAACCTTTTCGTCAATTGAGCTCTTCGCCGTCTGCAGCTACGGACCCACCTCTCTCTCTCGCTCTCTCTCTCGCTCTCTCGCTCTCTCTCGCTATTGTCTTCCCCTCCCACATGCGTTACATCCAGCTATCTCGGGCTGCTGCTGGTCTACGTCGTCGCAGCACTTGTGCCTCGCTCCGTCTACGCCCCGCAACGTCGTTCCTACTGCGTAGCTTCAGTACCGCCGTGTCTGACGTCGATGTCCCGCCTTTTGTACCCGGGTTTCCCGTACCAGCTGGCTACATGCATAACCTGCGCAACATTGGTATTTCAGCCCACATTGACTCGGGCAAGACGACGCTGACGGAGCGCATTCTCTTCTATACGGGCCGCATTAGTGCTATCCATGACGTCCGCGGCAAAGACGGCGTGGGGGCCAAGATGGACTCGATGGAACTCGAGCGTGAAAAGGGCATTACGATCCAATCAGCAGCTACGTACTGCTCGTGGAAAGACTCAAATATCAACATTATTGACACGCCTGGACACGTGGATTTTACGATTGAAGTGGAGCGTGCACTGCGTGTGCTGGACGGTGGCGTGCTCGTGCTCTGCGGCGTCTCGGGTGTCCAGAGTCAGTCGTTGACAGTGGATAAGCAGATGAAGCGCTACGGTGTTCCTCGTATTGCATTTATAAATAAACTTGACCGCATGGGGGCGAACCCGTGGAAGGTGATTCAGGATCTTCGGAGTCAGCTCAAGCTGAACGCGTGGGCGCTGCAAGTGCCAATTGGGACTGAGAATGATCTGGAAGGAGTGGTTGATCTGCTCAGCATGAAAGCACTGCGCAACAAGGGCGAGAGCGGGGAGGTCATTGAGGACTCGGATGACATTCCTGCGGACACTCGTGCACTTGCCGAGGCAAAACGTGCGGAACTTGTTGAAGCACTTGCTAATGTGGATGATGACATTGCGGAGCTGTTCCTTATGGAAGAAGAGCCAAGCGTTGAACAATTGAAGGATGCTATCCGTCGTGCGACGATTGCACACAAGTTTGTGCCGGTCATGATGGGCTCAGCTTTTAAGAACCGTGGCGTGCAGCCCATGCTCGATGGTGTCGTATCGTACTTGCCAAGTCCACCAGAGGTCCAGAACTTTGCTCTGGATCAGTCAAACAACGAGGCTCGAGTGAGCGTGCCGTGCTCCCCAGACGCACCTCTGCTGGCTCTGGCGTTTAAGCTTGAAGAGGGTAAGTTTGGTCAGCTTACGTACATGCGCGTGTACTCTGGTACACTTAAACGTGGTGGCTTCATTTACAACATGAGTGATATGAAGCGCATCAAGGTGCCTCGCCTGGTAAAGATGCACTCAAATGAGATGCAAGATGTGGAGGAAGTTGGCGCAGGTGGAGTTGTTGCAATGTTTGGTGTCGAATGTGCCAGTATGGATACGTTCAGCGACACGAACCAGGGCAAGTTCACATTGACGAGTCTGCACGTACCCGAGCCGGTGATGTCTCTTGCCGTCACGCCCAAGAATAAGCAGCAGATAGGCAACTTCTCCAAGGCGCTCAACCGTTTTCAGAAAGAAGACCCTACTTTTCGTGTATGTGTCGATGATGACAGCAAGGAGACGATCATCAGCGGTATGGGTGAGCTTCACTTGCAGATCTACGTTGAGCGTATGAAGCGTGAGTACAGCGTGGACGTGGAGACTGGCGCGCCTCAAGTGAACTACCGCGAGACGATTCGTGAGCGCAGTGAGTTTAACTATCTTCATAAGAAGCAAACTGGTGGATCCGGTCAATATGCGCGCGTGGTAGGATACATCGAGCCGCTAACGGACGAAGAGGTTGAAGAGCTCAGTAATGGGGGAAACAGCTCGGGCGTCATCTTTGAGAACGCAATTATTGGCAATGCTATTCCACCCGAGTATATTGCAGCTTGCGCGAAAGGTGTGGATGATGCAGTTCAGAAAGGGTGGCTCATTGGCCACCCAGTGCAACGCATGCGTGTGGTGGTAAATGACGGCCAGTCACACTCGGTCGATTCCAGCGAGCTTGCTTTCCGTACAGCTATGGTGCTGGCTGTTCGCCAGGCGTTTATGAAGGCTAACCCGTGCATTCTGGAGCCCGTAATGGCTGTGGAGGTGGAAGTGCCCAATGAGTTCCAGGGTACGGCTATTGCCGAAGTGAACCGTCGTCGTGGTCTCATCAACAGCAGCGATGCCGATGACGTGCATACGGTTGTCAAGTGCGATGTACCGCTGCAGAACATGTTTGGTTTCTCGACGGATCTGCGATCGTCTACTCAGGGCAAGGGCGAGTTTACGATGGAGTACAAGACGCATGGCGTTGTCATGCGTGACATGCAAGAGAAGCTGGTGAGCGAGCACGAGAAGGCGCAAGCGGCCAAAAACAAGTAGAAGGCGATGTGCTCAAGTTTTGCTTATTCTGACGGACAGTATAGACAAACATTGGTAAGTGTGACGATAGAACTGTTGTAGGAAACCAGATAGAAGAGATCCGATGGTGTCAGCTACATGGCAAACGACTCTTATTCAAATAGATTGTATTTCCAGGAGTCGTCATCATGTGCACAAATGTGACGAATATTGAAAGCCAGTAATCATGTACTTTTGGGGAATTTAAATGTACCGGTCCCGAACGGGTCGTCGTACCGGCAATTTATCCAATCTGATAAAATTGATAATTCTTACCCCGATTCTGTAACCCAGCATCTAATTCTGAAGTATCCGCAGTTTAGCTGATTGAATGCACCACCTCAACTGTAACGGGGCACCCTGAAGCTTGTACTGGTGACAGTACAAGCTACTTATTCTGATAACAGAATAAGGCGGTGCCTCGTAACTTCACGTACACTCGTACGTGCAGAGGAAGACGGTAAGAAGAAGCGAGTACTTGGTTAGAGTAAAAAGTAGAACTGTATTTATAATAGTTAATGTCTGCAATAAATCACTATTTATCTTCATCTAACTATGTCTAAATACAAATGTGTAAATCAGTTATCTGCTCACCACTCATTGCGTGCGTCTGTCGTGGCGCGTCTTCGTTGGTTGATATAATGGCCTATATCAACCAATTAGGAACTACTTGGAAGTGCTACAGAATATTGTCCTTATGACAATATTCTGAGAATATAACTCTTATAGTTATATTCTATTAACAATTTCTTATAAATTGTTATGTAACGATTCACCCCGTTACATCACCCACCCCTTAACCATCAGTCACTTTAGTGACTGATTGACTAAATGGATACTCGTCCCAAATCATTTGGGACGGGGTTTGCACTTGTTGGTCCGCGTCCACTTTCCAACATCTCATCGCATGGTAAACAAGCCCATGCGATGCGCGAGCAAGGCCGCCGAGAGCGCGTCTGCACGTCTCTGTGCGGACGCCGAAGCAGAAACTACAGCAACTGATGTCCCATCGGTTGCTGAATCGGCTCAGCCAGTATCACCTGGTGATGCATGGTGTGCGGCGCTGGTCATGAAGACACTCGTGTCTTCACAGAGTACGAGCTCGGTGTCTCGTACTCTCCTGATACGGATGACGGATCCGTATCGACGGCAATTGAATCCAAGCCGCCTGCCAAGCGTGGCATGGACGATGCTTTGCGTCGCAGCATCTTTGGTTCATCTGATGAGTCAGATGAACCATCGCCGAACGAAGGCGCTCGAGGTCGCGAGACTCGGGCGCTAATAGTGGTGTCGTTTCTCCAATGGACACCACTTCACAGCGAGGTGCCAGTACTTCTGTCGGCACGTCGCAGGAAGAGCGGGACCGCAATGTGTTGCGTCTCGTTCCAGAAAAGAAGGCATGGATGCCTCCTAAATCTGTCATGGATCACTTGTCGGCGACGACGAGTGATCGTTATCGAACACGATTGTTCGATTCGTCGAGGATTCATCACCTTGACCCCAGCGCGAAAGACTATCGCGCTGAACATGAGTTCTTCATCGATGCTTTCTTCAGACATCGATGGTACAGTGGGAATCACAAACGTGATGGTCCCTCACTACTTCAGGCGTGGAACGCCTACATCCATAATCTCGAGGATGTAGGTCGTGACGCTTGGAACGACAAACTTATCAAAGCTCGTGATAAGTTTGAAAAGCGAACCCCGACAGGTGCACGCTACAAGCTGCATCGTCTGTCAAGGGAGAAAGGATTACCCTGCCTTTCTTGGGGAGACTCGTGCCCATGTTGTGTGAACAACTCTGCACGAGCACCTAAGGAGGCTTACCTCCTTACCAGCCCGTGGTGGCGCGTACGTGTCTCTACTGAGATGTACGAAGGGATTGACAACCTGAAATCCCTTACGACCGTGCCGGATAGACTTTCTCCGGCGGTCCTTCTGCGGCACAGGATGTGTCGCGTCGTACTGCTCGACCAGACCCAGTACGTCAACCATCAATTGGGAGCGGGGCTCCCAAGAATCCCAGGACGGGGGATAGCCGCGCCACCGGACGAGGTAACTCGTCCGACGTCCGTTCACGTCGCGGTGGTTCAACAGCTGCTCAACTAGATAGCGCTGGCCACCGCGAGAGTCCTCTAATGGAGGTGGAGGAGGAGGAAAGACGCTCTCCACACGATCATGTGGATCGGTGTGTTCCCGAGAGCTTCTTTGATCGCGTAACGCAAGGGTTACGCGACGATCTCGAGCATGAGCGGAATAGGCGTCTCCAAATGGCGGACACTGCCTCGAAGCATCGAGCTGAGTTTGCCTTTGCTCAGCTCGAGAACGAGAGATCTCTGACATCTCTTCGTGACGAGCTAAGGGTAGCTCGTGGGATTGCTGATCGGTCTCGGGATGAGATAGCTGCTCTTCAGACCCTTGTTGATGCCCACCATCGGGAGCACAAGGCTCTCTGCGAGATGCTTGAGCGCAAGGGCGTTCTTCATCGGAAGAAGCAGCGTACTGATGGTACGGCTTAAGCCGACCAACGTAAAACGTGGGATGCGTTCGCATCTTACGTGGTAATTCGATCGTGTATGCATTGCCTAGGCGGTGCAATACACGAAATGGGCCAATGTACTTGGGTAGTAGTTTACTGCTACCCAAGTTAGTCACTACATGCTTTGGTAGATTAACCGTAGACAGTAGGACTAAGTCACCTTTATTAAATAAAAGAGTGTTTGCCCTTCCATTCTTGTCAGCGTTTTGCTTTTGCTTATCCACCGCTTCGGCGATGGAGTCTTGCACAAAACGGACTACCGTTTCACGAGCCAGTATGAACTCATCTGATGACTCGTTAGCTTCAGTGTGCTGTGAGCGCACTGCAGCGACAACAACCTTTTCTTCAGTGAGGGCTTCCGCACTCTCACTGGGATCATTGTCTTCAGTGAGGGCTTCCGCACTCTCACTGGCATCATCTTCTTCGATATCGATGTTATCGATATCGGCATCAAACGCAATGACTTCTTCGTCAGAGCGTGATGAGCGTGAACCAAATCGGTTTTTGCTCGCGCGAGTCCCTCCCCCCTTAAACCAGAGTTACACTCTAGTAAGGTGGGTACACGCGGATGGCGCAAGCCATTCACGTAAAACGGTGTATGTGTCGTGGACGCATGCACCGAGTTGTTGATGGCAAACTCTACCATCGGCAAAAACTCACTCCAACTCTTAAAGGAGTGTACGTATCCTCGAAGTATCTCTTCAAGGACACGATTGGCACGTTCCGTCTGACCATCTGACTCTGGATGATCAGATGTTGACATCTTCAAGCGCGTTCCGAGTGATTTGAACACGGAACGCCAGAAATCAGCAGTGAATCGTGGATCTCTGTCTGATACGAGTTCACGGGGCAACCCATGAAGTCGGAAGATGGTGTCAATAAAGACACAAGCACAGCCACTTGCCGTGATTGTCTCTGGTACAGCCACAAGGTGTACCATTTTGCTGAATCTGTCAACAAATACGAGAATACCCGTATTCCCGCGTGCGTCTTTGGGTAACCCGAAGACGAAATCCATTGAGATGGATTCCCGGCACTCAGCCGGAACCGGTAGAGGCTGTAAAGGTGCACGCAGTGAAGGACTTGACTTCACTCGTTGGCAGACTTCGCATGCGCGAACATACTTGCGCACAAACTGATACTGGCGGGGCCAGTAAAAGTCTCGACTTACCGTGAGATATGTTTTCTCTCGGCCACGATGTCCTCCTATAGGAGCATCGTGATACTCGAACATGATCCGCAAACGCAGATCAGTATCATCTGGAATGACAACACGTGGTGTGTCACCAGAAACGGCTGTATAGTACAGTAAACCGTTACGAGTAGTGTATCGATCTGATGCAGATCGATACGCAGACGACAATCGTTTCAACGATTCTCGAGATGGTTGGGAGAGATGTGACAACAACTTCACTATCTCACCATCTTGGGCGTATGCCCGCCTCACATCATCATACAACGTTGTAGATGGAACTGAGGACGTCATAACCGCAACAGTGGCTGCCTCACTGTTGGGTTTCGCGACTGTTTCAAAGTCGGGACGACGTGAGAGTGCATCAGCGACGACATTAAGTCGTCCTGGTTTGTACTCGACCGTAAAGTTGTATTCTGCAAAGAATGACAACCACCGCGCCATTCGTTGTGAAAGGTGCGGGCTGTTCACTGCCGTGCGTAAGGACGCATGGTCAGTGTAAACAACGAAGGGTCTATCTCCTGATAGATAGACTCTGAACTTCGCGAGTGCATACTTCATGGCAAGGAGTTCCTTGTCATGCACTGGATAGTTCCGCTCAGCTGGTTGCAGCTGACGCGACTGATAGCAGACGACGCGTTCAACGCCTTCAAGGTCGTACTGCATTAATGCACAGCCGATTGCGAAATCGCTGGCATCACAGACCACATGAAATGGCCTGTCCTGATCGGCTATTGCTAGGACTGGGGATTGTATCAAGCTCTGCTTGATACCCTCAAAGGAGCGTTGACATTCAGCGTTCCATAACCACCTCTCGTTCTTTTTCAACAAACGAGAGAGGTGTACAGTCATCTCGGCGTAATTGCGTGAATACTTATGCAAATACGCCGCTAGCCTAAGGAATTTTCGAAGACCTTTGACATCGACCGGCACGGGCCAGTCGGTGATCGCCTTGATCTTTTCGGGATCAGGACGTACACCGTTCTTACCAACGATGCACCCAAGAAGTGGTATTTCGCTTGCTGCAAATATACACTTCTTGAGGTTTGCATACAATTGATGCTTTCGCATGATTGTAAGAACTTGTCGGACGTGGTACTTGTGAACCTCAACGTCCGACTTTCCATCCATAGCTCGACTATGGATGAATACGTCATCGAAATAACTCGGCGCGAATTCTCGTACTGGCCTCAACAGATGTGATACACACCTGTTGAACGTGGCAGGGGCATTACTGAGCCCTTGTGGCATTACTAGCCATTCCCAGAGCATGCCGCTAGGCGTGCTAACTGCGGTATAGGGTATATCCCGTTCCCGCATTAGGATTTGATAGAAGCCATCCATCAAATCCATGGACGAAAAGATGGTACTCTTTGACATACCATCAATGATTACGTCCTTCCTCGGTATCGGCGTCTGAGCCGGTACCGTTGCAGCGTTCAATTTGTTAAACGCGTGCACTATCCGCCACCCTCCTGTTGCTTTTCGCACACAGAAGGTCGGAGAGCTATGTGGGGAAGTTGATTCCCTCACATGGCCCGCTGCTAAACGATCGGCAAAGAACTTGTCGATCGCAAGTACTTGTTCACGAGGCAGTGGCCACTGCTTCATGACACAGTACTTCGAGCCTGGTTTAAGCTCGACTTCGTGTCGAATACCTTTATCCTTCGGTAATTCGCACGGAACAGTTTCAGGGAATACATCCTTGAATTCAACCAAATCTTCATAGAGAGGATTTTCCTTGAGCGATTCCCATGATTGGGACTCATATCGCTCAATTCGTGTCTTTTCATCTAGGACACTCTCGTCCATAGATGAACTACTGAGAACTCTCTCGTTCTCAGTAAACACTGTTGCTGACCTTATGTCGGTTACATACTCGTCTTCAGCGACGAGTATGCAGATCTGCTTGACTTTGCCACTACGCAGATCACGCAAGAATCTTTTATGTTCGAGCGTTGGCAACTGAGTGATCTCCGAAGTTAACTTCGGAGGCGCAATCAGATCAAGTGTATAAGCGCCTACACATGATCCGTTATTGACTATGACATTCAATGTCTCTGTCATTTCCTGGGGACTTATTCCCTCAGGCTTCGAAGGACTTATTCCTTCGTCTTCCCGGGGACTTATTCCCGCGGGTTTCGGGGAACTTATTTCCGCCGTATTTGTAATCTTGGGACTTATTCCCTTTACTTCCTCTAGCTGGGGTTGCGCAACCACAGCGAGATCCTCTACGAAAGACTCTCCAGTCGATCTAGGATTATCGTTTCGCTTAACCTGAGCGATCGATTGTTTCTCTTCTAGATGTTCCCCTCTAGGGATACATCTTTGTCCCAGCCCACCCGACTTATTCGAGTGGTGGACCTTCGGCGCAGCCTGTGTTTCCTCACAGCCGCCGGAACTTTGCTCCGAAGTGTAACCGTTTGGTACACTAAGGTTTTGTGCAGTCGTACTAACGACCGTACCACAAGTGAGGCCATCGCACTCACTCGTAGTACATCCACACGCTTGTGGACGCTCCAAAACGTTCATCAGATGGCCATCTGATGAACAAGCGGCAGGCATCGTTACTGTCCGATGTTGCCAGTTTACCCGTGGTTCGTACCTTCTCAGCCACGGTATTCCAAGGATGACTTCAAATTTGTCATCCAAATCCAATACGATAAAGTCATCGTCGTATTGGGTATCTTCTAGCGTATAGTGAATCTTCACTATACGCTTCATGACGGTTACGGATGCGCCTGTCGCAAGACGTACCGTCATCCTCGTAGGAGGTGTGTCACATTCACTGAACTTAAAATGACCATCTTCTAGCGATTGGCGTCGCACAAAATTGTTGGACGCCCCACAATCGACTAGAGCTCGAAGGGACAACTTATTCGTCACTTCGAGTTTCAAGGTAATGAGTGAGACCTCATTACCTAGAGCAGCAACGCACAATGTCTGTGTGTTGGGAGCAACCTTCATCAAGAGGCCTACAAATTCTCTTGACGTTGCTGGATCAGTAGGGTGCTCCGCACCTACTGATCCTGTCCGTTTTTTGACGGTCCATCCCGTTGTTGCGTCTTTGCACCAACTGCGGACCCTCGTCCCTGCCCCTTTCTCATGGGTGGACGGTCACTACGCCCAGTGTCGCGAGACACTGGACGAGGGGCACTACACTCGTAAGCGTAGTGTCCTGTCTTTTGACATCTGTTGCATCTCTGCAACTTCTTGTAGCCTGTAGAGCGAGCCTTCTCGCTCTCTACATAACAGAGTTCCATCGGCTCTGGACCTCCGTTATCATATCGTCTCGGTTGACGATATGATGTCGAGCTGGCGCGAGCCTGTCTCAGACTGAAGTCTTCCTGCTCCGCAATTGAAATGGCTTGTTCTAGTGAATCTAGTTCAAGCCGGAACAGGTGAGTCTTGAAGGGACCATCCGCAAGACCCTGCATGAACACCGAAACCAACGTGTGTTCATCCACCGGATTGGAACTTATACAACTCGTGAGATGTCGTATATGTTGAGCGTAAGCGTGCACATCACGCTTACCCTGCTTGAGCTTCAAGAGTTCGGTTCGAGCTCTGAACTCAGCTCTAGGCGGTTCAAACGTTTGTCTGAGCCGCGACTTGAAGACTTCCAACGACCCAAACGCGTATGGGTCGTGCAGCTTGAGCCCCAGTGCCCAAGTCTTGGCACGTCCTGCCAGATTTGACTGGGCAAATGCAACTTGCATATCCCCGTCGTCGATGCGACGCGCCCTTATGGCGTCATCCAATTCGACGAACCATCTCAAGAGGGAGTC